GTCTGTTTTTTTTCTTCGTTAGTCTGGTTAACTGTTGGACTATTTTCTTGCCTTTTAAAAAGTGCTTTTGCTGGGGTCGGCACATTTGGCATAACTGGCTGATCCTCCCCTTGCAAGTACCAAGATCACAAATGGGTGCCAGTTCGTGTCCCAGCTGCTCCACTTCTCTAAGAGCTCCCTGCTTGTGGTCTGGGATAGCAGTCAAGAATGGCCCAGCGCCTTGGGACCCTGCACCCGTGCATGAGACTCAGAAGAAGCTCCTGGCTATTGGCTTCAGATGGGCTCAGCATTGGTGGTTGTGCACATTTAGCAAGTGAACCAGCGAATGACAGATTCGTCTCTCTTTTTCTCTGTAAATCTGCCTTTTCAATAAAAATATTTAAGTCTTAGAAAAAAAGAAAAAACCTGACCCTATTTTGTTGGTCTTGTGTAATTTTGTCTGTTTAAGCTTCATTTATTTCTGACCAAATCCTTTTTATTTCTTGTTTTCTGCTACTTTTGGGTTTGGGTTCTTCCTTGTTTTCTTGTCTTTGAGAGTCATTATTAAATTATTTATTTGAAACATTTTTCTCCTTTTTCTTAGTAAGTACTTAATGTCATTTATTATTATTTCCTATGATATGGTTTTATACATGTAAGTTTTTCGCCTTCTACCTCCTCTTCATTCTTTCCCATTCTCCCCACCTTACACACACACACACACACACACACACACAATTTCCTTCCATGTTATTACAATAATGTACTCGTTCAGCAATAGTCACAAGTATAGCAGTCTGCTATTTAAGTGTATCATGGCGTTATAGTTGTAGAAAATGGTAGAAAATCTGTGATCCTATTGTCACGGCATATTTAACAGTTCTTTGGACTAGAGATGTATATTGTAACATATCTTCTCTTTCCATAAAAGCACTTAATGTTATATACTTGCTCCAGAATTCTGCTTTGGCTCTTTGGTTTTTATATGTTCTGTTTTCAAAGTTACTTATTTAAGTTTTTGATATTTAAAAAAAATTACAGTGACCCATTGATTATTCAGCAGTATGTTCATTAATTTCCATGTGTTTGTGTATATTTTATTGCTTTTTTTTGTTCAATTTCACTTTTATTCCTTTGTGATCAGCATTGGTAGATTTATAGTTGAGATTTTGTTAACACGGGTGCTCACCTATGTCTTATTGACATTGTTCTTTTCATGTGCCAACTGGGTTGAAATTATCATGAATTGCTTTTATGTATACAGGTAAGTCTATGTCATTCATATAACTTTTGCTAAACTAAAAGAAGCAAAGCTAAATGCATTTGCAATTTGCCCCAAGTAGTAAAACCATACCACTTAGCAGTGAACATGTCTTCCCTGGTCATCTCTGTGGGGAACTAAGGTGGGTTTTGCCTTGCTAGATTGGCACCATTTTCTTCCCCTTTGTAGCCCATGGATGGTAAACCAATCGGTAACTACCATGGACTCAGCTTTTATAGGTAAAGCTGCAATTATTATGGTTGCTGACAATGTCAGGAGGATGACCGGTAAGCTCAGTGCATAGTTCTGCAGGGTACTGGACTCTAGCACTGTGACCTTTATTATTTGCAAATAGAACAGAGGCAGTGGCATAATCAAATATGTGGCACAGAGTACACACTCTCTTTGAAATGGTGTGGCTTACCCAAGCAGCATTGGACTCAGGAGCCTGCCAATCCATGTTAGGTGTTTAATTGTTATCATTTTCTCTTTTACTGGAATTTAAGAATAAAGTTAGTGATTGTTAAATGATATATGAAATTGAAACTCTCTCATATATATCTCTTGAAAGCAACAAATATAGAGTGCAAAGAGTATTATTTCTTACTTAGGAAAGATTTGCCTGTTTCCACTTAATTTGAACAAGGCATTTAAACTTGTCAAATTTTAGATAATTAAGTTTTTCAGCCTGACTCAGATTTTCAAGATATGATGTTGCATAACATTTTATAAACTGAAACATCTAGGACACAAGCTGGCACCTATACAGGATGCTAGCTTCATAGTAGATGGTTTGACTTGGCTGTGCCACAATGCTGACTTCTGTTCTTATACTTAGTTCTTTAAAAACAACTTTATTAGAAGTCACGGTGCCCAGAGCTGAGACAGTCTAAAGCCAGGAGCCTATAGCTTCTTCTGGGTTTACCATGTGGGTACAAGGTCCTAGGAATTGAGCCATCCTCCACTGCTTTTCCAGGCCATAAGCAGGGAATGAAATAGCAAGTGAAGCAGCTGAACAAGAACCAGCACCCTTATGGGATGCTAGTGTCACCAGTGGAGGCTTACCCTACTGTGCCACATTGTCAGTCCCTGTTATGCTTTTTATTAAAGGCAACTTAATCATCTTTTCTTACTTCCAGGGACCATGCTCTAAGAACTTTGTAGAATAATTTTAAATTTGAAACTTCATTTTACCAATGGAGTTAGTCAAAGAATGGTGAAATCGTAGCAGGAAATGCCCCAAATCATACCATTGTTTCGAGGCAGAACTAAGCTGTAAGCTACAAGCCACACTGTAGTAGTCCATGGCCATGTGTGTGGCTACCAGTGGCTGCTCTGGATGCAACAAAGGACAGCCTGGCAGGGTGACACTTTGTCCTACATCACCAGGCACGGATTTTTTTTTAAGTAACTCATTTTCTTGCATTTTTGTATTTTAGTGTCAGATAATTCATTCCTAGAGTTCTAGTATAAGATATGAGAATGTAATTTAAGGTTTGCTTTATAAATTAGAAATGTAGATTTGGCTCATAAATCCATTACATTCCACAGTATGTGTAATTGAATATTTCATTACTCTTTTTCTCTAATCCATGATGACAACAGAAGATTGCTTTTTTTGTGCCTAAAGCTGTGAAACTGCTTTAATGCACCTTTAAATCTCTTAGTTTTGCTCCACACATTTTTTTCTTTTGTACACAAAAGGACAAGAGGTTAATATCCATACATATAGATGGGTTGACCTGCAATGAGCCAAACACTTTCTTATCCTTTTATAGCAATCCATTTGCTTGTTAGAGTAGGTATGAGTATGCTCATCTTACACATAAAATGTAAGGCTTAGAGAGTCTGAGAAAGTTCCCCAATGACATGCAGTCGTTGGTTGTTTCCTTTGCTTTTATTTTTATTAATCACTGAGTGTGAATCTTGGAGAAATACATAATGGAGAAATGGCATCGCTGCACAGGGCTGGGATGATTGGGGAAGGTGTGGGTGATGTTAAATGTTGCATTCTATGACAGCAAAAAATACAGGGTATGTTTACAGATATTGGATTATTTCCAGTCTAAAGGACATGTCTACAGATATTGGATTATTTCCAGTCTAACAAGACTATCAAATTTAAGCCACACCTCTTCTGGACCTGATTATCTTCAGTTATGGAGAAACATACTGTTTCTAATCTGATTCTTCTCAAAAACACCGATTCGTTAGGCCTTTAATCAAGGAAACATAAGCACTCTTGTAAAAACCACAGTGCAATAAAATACTTTCCTTCTCTTTATCATTCTTTTAGGAATCTCTAGTTATGTTTTACTGTAGTCAACAGATAACATAGAAAAAGAAGTTGAACTTCTAAGCAAAGGAAATAATGACCTACATTTTCTACAGGATTCCAACTCCTGCCTTCTAGCATTGGCCCTTGGAATCAATTTCCTAGTAGTCTCCATGGAACACAAATGGAAGAGTAGAGGGAAAATCCGCAGTTATCAATCTCATGCAATTTTCTGTTGGTGTTTTTACTTTAAACTCATAAAACTAATAGTTATCACATGATTAGTGAAGGGCCAATTGAACAAAATGACTTCGGCTTGTGAAAATCTTTGGCGTGTGAAACTTCAAACATGATCATCAGACTTTGGAAATTATTGCATCCAAGATTTAGTTACTTCTGGCAAACAGTTTCCTTTCATTAGGCAACGTTTTAGAATCTTTTATTTTTCATTTGTGTATGTTTTAAAACATAAGTAGCATACAAAATTGTAAAATTAATAACTGGGATGTTTTGAAATTCTATGCAATTTGGTAAGATTTCCTAAGTTGGGGTGGGAGCACCTCTCTAACTTAGAGTTTGGTTCTACTGCCACAGTCATTTCACGTGTTTTCCCATAAACTGATGATTTTACTGCAGGCAAAGTTTTTAGATTCTATAACTTTTATAATAAAATCAAGATTTTACTTTTGTATAATAAAACCTTTTCATTATCACTTTTCATGATACGTTAGGAGAATCGTTTGTGATGTCAGAAGCAGCAGAAGTGCTTTTGCACTCCCTCTTAGTTCTAATATGCAGTTACTATTAGGTAACATGTTGATTTCTCGGCCTGCCTCAATCTGACAACAGTGTGTTTGTGCAGTATTCCAGTTTCTTTCACTTTGTCATAGTTTGATAGTCTTCATCCAGTTATATTGAAACTATAAGAATTTTAGGATAAAAAGACACAAGGAACACCATTATATTGGTGCATAAATGAAAATCTAAATCTATATTAGTTCAATGTCCTATTCGGTAGCATCAATTTCTTAGTTTGTGTTGGAAACAAAAGGTAAGAGTTTCCGTTTAATTTCAGTTCATTCATTGTGGTTCGTCTTGTGTTTCCTTAAAATAAACGTGGGTTTTTTTTCCCCAGGATTTCCCCCATATTTTAAAGCTGAGAAAGTATAGGGTTTCATTGTCACAACTGTGCATCTATTTCTGTACAATCCTTACTTAGTTTCTGAACTTGTAAATGAAACAGATTATTTGACAATGCAGTAAGCTCAGTGATTGGTCATTTGGACAGCATTCATTATATCTCATTTCAATATTCTAAAGCAGTGCATCATAAAAATGCATCCTGAATAATGCATGTCTCCTACTTTAATTACTTGTTTAATTATCTTTGGTTTGTTTTAAAGCCTAGAGCGAATGCTGCTGCTTGCATGATTAGAAAATTGCTTCCAGTTGCAGAAATCCATTTCCTGTTATTTCTCGTGGCAGTGATTGCAGACCGGCCTCCCCCAGTCATTCGCCAAGGTCCTGTGAATCAGACGGTGGCCGTGGATGGGACGTTAGTGCTCAGCTGTGTGGCCACAGGCAGTCCAGTCCCAACAATTCTGTGGAGGAAGGATGGAGTCCTTGTTTCCACCCAAGATTCTCGAATCAAACAGCTGGAGACCGGGGTGCTACAGATCCGATATGCAAAGGTAACTTGAAATGATACCTCTTTTTTCCAATTTGCTTTCAGTGAATACTGTCAAAACCTTCACACTTAGCATTGATGAAATGCTAAATGAAAGTATTAGTATGTTTTTAGTTTGATGATTTTTTTTTCGGATATTCTATTGTATATGTTTGAGACACACATAATTTAGCCTCTGCCAAGCAGTAGAAGGCTATGTACAGGAGGGGAAAAAAAGACATCTCAGATGTATAGAGGAAAGCAAATGGGGATTTGCTGGAGGGAAAAAAAATATCCACCGTGTAGCTGATACAGTCATTGTATAAGGCATTTACAAGATATGTTCCAATACTTATTTTTTGTGTCATGTAATTGACTATTCTATTTATCCAGGCATTTGCAATTACAGAATACTGCACATTCAAGCAAAAGCTACAAAGCAAAGTACACACTAGCTGTACATTGCAAGTCAGAATGTTAAATGGTGAAAAGTCCACAGGTGTGTAGGGACAACTTAAGGATTTACTTCCCTGGATATATTATATCCCATACCTGTTCTTTCAGAACTGTATTTGTTTTGTTTTGATTTTTCTTTTTCTTCCTCGGGTCAGGATCAGACAAGCTCTTGAGACCTATGAAAGAATAGTCTTGACAGTAATAAACATAAATTTTGATTGCTGAATTGCCAATTGTGGGGAGCTTTTTTGGGGTTTGTGAAGAGCATCACAGTTCATGCTGTGTTCCAGCAAAGTTAGTTTGTGCTCCTTTTTGGTGATCGGTGTTGTGACGTTGTAATTGCTAATGTGAGATGACAGTATTCTTTATCAGTTGCCGCTGGAAGGTAGAGTCATTAGCTTGGGCAGAGGTCGATGGGTTCTCTGTTTTCTGGGAGTTAAAAGGAAGGGGATTCTTTCCAACTTCTGTTTGGCTTTATACTTCTTGAATTGCCTTAAGTTGTGGACTTCCAAAAATCGAAGGGAGAGAATAAATACAGTAAGGCAAAATTTATTTTCACCCGTTTCATTTTTGTATAAATATCTGTTCATTTCATATATCCATTTTGTAATGCTCATAAAATATTACACAGCAAGGAAATTCACTGGCTAAGCTTTAGCAACCTTGCTTTTGTCTTGCTGAATGTGAAAATATAATATGATATGATATGATATGATATATAATTTAGCAATAAAGATAAATTCTTTATATTTAGATAACTTATTAATTATATGTTCTCTCTGACACTGAAAATAATGTTAGTGCAGACACTATAATTTCATTATACAACTGGAGTAACTTTATAAAGTCTCTTTTTTTCCTTTCTTCATATGCTGTTTTCTTTGACATTCGGTGGCATTATATTCAATTAAGAGGACATTTCTGCCTGTGAATTTTAATGCAGTTATCCATATTCATAGAACATATACAAACCTGTAATTGCTTTTCCAGTCCAATGAGCTCTTGATTGTTCCAAATATTTATTTTCTGTCTGCCTTCTCAGCTGGGTGACACTGGTCGGTACACCTGCACCGCATCAACCCCCAGCGGTGAAGCGACATGGAGTGCTTACATAGAAGTCCAAGGTAAATCAGCATCTTTGTCTTAATAAAGCTTAAGATACAGTTGTTTACTTTCTGGCAACTGGATGACTTGGATTTCTTCATCCATTAGTAGATGTATGGTTATGTTATCTATACTTCTATGTTTATCTCTAGATAGGTAAACCTCTTTCTTTTGTCTTTTTTCTGTTAGAATTTGGAGTTCCAGTTCAACCTCCAAGACCCACTGACCCCAATTTAATCCCTAGTGCCCCCTCAAAGCCTGAAGTTACGGATGTCACCAGAAATACAGTAACGTTATTGTGGCAACCAAATTTGAATTCAGGAGCAACTCCTACGTCGTATATTATAGAAGCCTTCAGGTAGATTGAAGACATGGTGTGCTGGTTGTTCATTTTTGGATTTACTGTGAAATATACACCTTCTCACTTGTGTGTGTCTCTCCCTAGCCATGCATCTGGTAGCAGCTGGCAGACTGTGGCAGAGAATGTGAAGACAGAAACATTTGCCATTAAAGGACTCAAACCTAGCGCCATTTACCTTTTCCTTGTGAGAGCAGCTAATGCATATGGAATTAGTGACCCAAGCCAAATATCGGATCCAGTGAAAACACAAGGTAAATGTGGCTTTTCTCCAACTGTCAGCATCTGCTTGGCCTTCCACGCTGTAACTCTAGAGACACATCATGAATGCTGCTTACAAGGACTCTTATTTATATTTTGTTGTCAGTTAGCTGCATTCAGTTTTAAAACACAATGTCTGTCAACTTCACTGCATTCTAGACTAAGCAAATGATATCAGAAAACTGTTTCTCTTAAAGTTAAAAATTCTACTGAAACAAAAGATGTTCTGTGACAATTTTATATTCTAGTCAATGCATTGATTTTAAATATAATTCCATGTGTATAAAGAATCATCATCTTATGTTGAAAATTAAGTACTGATTTCCTTTTGGGTGAATTTTCAGAATTACAAATCGTATCTTTAGAATCTCACAAATGTAAGAGCTACTTGAAAACTTAGTCTTGCTGTCTCTGAGCTGCCAGTCTCCTCTAAAAAAATGAGAAATCTTTATGCTGTTTACCCAGTGTTTCATTGTCAGTTATGTGAACATAAGACATGAATATTTTTAAATGAAAAATACTTTCATTTTTGTGAAAACTGGGTTAAATAAGGGAAAAGCAGGCATGTTTAATGTCACTTCTGAGACATTTGGGATTGGGAACATTCTATTGAACCAAATTGCTTATACAGTTTTTAAAAAAATATTTTGTGTGTAGAACTTATTTTTTTTTAACCAGGAAGAATATTAACTCCTATGCACTTTCTCACTCATCCTATTATTTAACGGTCTGATTTGAGTAAAATTTAAATACTAAGGCACTCCAGAAAGCTCACGGAGGATGAAAATAATTTTGTTTTGCCAAAGTTAGACATTCATACATACAAGGGTTCTTCCCACAGTCTTGAAAAATGCATATTATGAATAAGTATTCATTGATTTCAAAGCGTAGTTAGTACTAAATGTGCTTATCTTTTTATTGAACCTTTCCATGAACTCATAGCTTATTTTTAAACTTAATGCCATTGTATTAAAGTGTGCCCCTTCTTAAATCTGCAAGGAAAGTTAATTCTACAGTCTAGAGACTAACATTTAAAACATTTTTGTTAACACAGAGAGGGATTCTCTGTCACTTGAGTGGATATCCTCAAAGGCGATGTAGTAAATTATTATAAAGGTGGAAACAAGTGAAACACACATAGGAAGTCTTCAGCTAGTTTTCTTCTGGTCTGGAAGTGAACTTGCCAGTTGTGTTACATGTTTTTTTGTCTTTCTTGTGTGCAGATGAACAGTGTTTTGTGAAGGATTCTTTGTTTCAGAATTCACAGAGAATGCGAAGTGACTTGTAGAACATGCCCATATTTGTCTCTTGCCGTGTGAATTCAGCACACCCAGATGCCTGTATTTGCTGTGATGAGTCACCTCAGCATCAATTTTCATAGACCAGGAGCCTGCCTTGGGGCAGCTAGAGGCTCTCAGCATTAGATATGCAGTGGTTTAGAATGCAGACAGAGTGACAGCTGTAAACTGAATTTAACCTTCTGTTCCCAGGACAGGGGACTCTACCCAGTAAGAGTGGTATTCTGTCATAACCTCATGTGAATGATTTTGAAATATGTCAGTGATCTTTACAAAGTTCATGGAAATATAAATACTATGAAAAATTTTTTTCTGAATTGTCAAAAAATGTTTGCACTGAAACAAATGATATCAATCCTACCATTCCATGAACTTTTTAGAGGCTCTCTTACACTCCCTCACATTGTAAATGAAGATGAATTTACATCTTCATGAGATTGTAGTCAGCTTTGCTTTGTAGATGCAGAATGGCGTGAATCCATGTCAGCCAGGAGACAGCAATGTAGGAAAATGAGCAGACAATTTTGAAATCAAAGGATATTTTATCTCAACTCTCAATCTCCTGCATGTCACCTTGAGTAACTTAGTTGCTTCAGTTTCCTGACTTAGCAAAGGAGACTAGATACACACTTTCCTCAGGATTGTTCATCAATTAATTAAGTAATGAACATGTAAACATAAAAGATTGCAATGTTTTTTTTTCAATTTTGTATCAAAAGACTAGCTATTAAACTTTGATATTTTGCATAGTTTCTGGATTAAAAATAAAGTTCTTAAAATTGGCACATATCACAAAACAGAGAGAGTTGGCAAATGTGGCAGTTATGATTAAATGTATCTGGAAATAGTACAGTGATGAGCCAACCCTCACAATTAAAATTAATGTACCGAGGTCAAAAGTTTGGTGCTTGAATTTAGATTTTAATGGTTAGTAATAAATAGATAGGAGAAGGACATCAGAGTTAAAGGAAGTGTGTGTGAGTGTGTGGCAGGGTTTGGGTGGGAGGGTTCAATTTGAGATTGATGAAAACACTCATTTGAACCATCAGAGTAATGCAGTTCCAAAAGAACAAATGTAGTTTTACCCGACATTTGGATCGAGTCATCTTCCCCTGCTGTTTAAACCCTGTATGTACATAGAAGATAATAGAATATATGGTATTTGTAAGAACACGTCATTTAATGTAAATAATGAGTGACACCTGAATCATCTGAATAGGGAGTTCCAGAATCTGGATGGCACTTGAATGGAGCGGTAGCTACAATTTCCTGGGAGACTAATCTTGCATACTAGGAAAGACATTATATAATAGAAACTCAAACCTGTGATAATTTAATACTTACTACATTTTTGGTCTTGGTCAAATTTTGGTGTTCTCGATAGTAAACCTTCTCCCCGTCAGGACAGTAACCTAAGCCTTCACCAGTTAACAGGTGGGAAATGGTCATTGCCCACAGATCATGTCTGACTTGCTGCATTGTACTTTACTGGACCTGCTTTGGCTTCCATGGTAGCCACGGACTGAACCTACGCTTCACGGAGTTAGTTCAATGCCTTCCAGCTTCTCTGTGTGGTTGCTCTTCACTCGTCAGTTCCTGTGCTTCCCTTGGCCGTGTGATTTCTGCCTGTCTCTGTCTTGCGTAGTTGGGATTGTTACAAAAGGTTATGGCCGATGTAGAGGGGACTGTGCTCACTGCCCCATTCTCAGCAAGCCAATGAGCATCACCTGCCAGCAGGATCCACTGAAGCTGCCGATCGGCATCCTTAGTGTTTCCACCTGCCCCTTTGGCCTTTCTTCAGGCCCTGGGCTTGTGCTTTGTCTCTCCAATCCCCCACTTCTGTATCTTCCTATTCTTGGGATCCTAATGCAAAGCTGAAGCTGGTCCTGGTTTATGCTGAACTAACAGGCCGACTTGCTGGCCTCTGTGATTGTTCGTTGGGTGTTGCCTTCAGTGGAAGGCAGAATCCCCAGGCTCTCGTCCCATGCTGGAACACTACCTAGGGCCTGACGTAGCCTTCTTGGATTATTGCAGATGTTCCTCCGACCAGTCAGGGGGTGGACCACAAGCAAGTGCAGCGAGAGCTGGGGAATGTTGTCCTGCACCTGCACAACCCTGCCGTCCTTTCTTCATCCTCCATCGAAGTGCACTGGACGGTGAGTTGCTGCTACAACGTACGTTCTAGATATGAATCAACAGATGACCTCTATGTGATAATTGTACGTAGCATTAAACTGTAACCCACTTTAACGCCTATGCCAGTAACGCAGTGTAACATTGTTGACGATGGTAGCTCTGGTCTGGCTTTAACTAAATGTTTTATCTTTGTGCCTGATCTTTTTTTTTTTCCTCCTGTGCTACCGTGGTGAATGTCCCCAGTTGCAGAGGGAAACACAAAGCCTCATGTGTGAATACTTGATGATGTTGCCATTGTTACATGACCTCTTTTAGTAAGAACTATCTCCAAGTAGCATTCAGGAGGCTTCTAAAATCAGAAAATTGTAAAACACATCTTGTTTCCTCCCCCTCTTGATCCTGGGGAACATGATGACAGAATGTCCCAGAGTTGCCAGGGTGCCACACATCTTTATGTGACGTACAGAAACGCATATCAACTCACAGATAATAGAGGGTATTTTTCACATTTTACTTTATAATTTTGAAGAGCAAGTCAAGACACAATTTCCAATTTGCATTTTGTCAGATTTAGTTTTCCTAATGTCTCCGTGAGCCAACAAAAAGCTCTGACTCTGTTTCCATATGTGATTTTAACAGGTGGATCAGCAGTCTCAGTACATCCAGGGCTATAACATCCTCTACCGGCCTTCAGGAGCCGGCCACGGAGACACTGAGTGGTCAGTGTTTGAAGTGAGGACGCCAAGCAAAAACAGTGTCATTATCCCTGATCTCAAAAAGGGTGTCAACTATGAAATTAAAGTTCGCCCCTTTTTTAATGAATTTCAGGGGGCAGATAGTGAAATCAAGTTTGCCAAAACCCTGGAAGAAGGTAAGTATGGTGCACCGTGTGATTTCTGTATAGGGTGGTGTATTTGTTAGGGGTTGGATATCTTGCTTGACAGTATTGAAATGTTAATCGTGGCATTACTTTCTATCCTGATATTGAACATGGTTTCATTAGAACCAAACTTCTATGATATGTAGATGGCTTCTATGTCAGACTACATAAAAATGTGTAAATCTGAACTTTGTATTACTTAAAAGAAGACGACAGGGTATACTTAATTATGTGTAAAGCAATTCACATTTTAAAAATGTAATTCTTACCAACTGGATTGTCTTGCCATTTATTTAGCCAAGGTTAGTTTGTTGAATAATCTGCAGCTAAAGTGAGTAGGGTCTTAAATTTGATCGCTATTTCACTGCCTGAGCATTTTCTTTGTAGAACTCAAGTTTTGGGAAACCCAGAATTGTAGGCAAACCAGAATGGTGAGCCGCCTTATATAACTGAAAATTAAAAGTAGTATTTACATTCATCTGTAAGGAACAATCCCCTATTGTGTGTTTGTTACTAACTACAGAAAACAGAACATCTGCTCATGGACCATGTAAGGTCTATGAAATTATTTGCTTTGGTCCTGCCAGGGCAACCAGTGGGAGAACTTGAAATTCAGTAACTCTATAGCAGGCTGCTTTTTCAGCTGATCATTTTGAATAATATATAATAATTTTATGAATACCCAAGTGGTTCTGGTCAGAAAAAAACAGACTAAACATCTGATACAAATGACAGTATTGTGAATGATTTGTTTTGTATTTTCACCCTTTTGAACATTTTTAGGGGAAACGTGAGTTTAGAGTGTCAGGGTAGGAGAGACAGGAGTTGTACTGGGGTGTTTTCTGGACATAAACCGTGTTTTCAGTTATGGAAAATTCGTGAGAAACACAGGCTGACTCTATTGACAGAATATGTTAGTCATTTGGGATCTCCCAGACTTGCATATGATATATCTTTAAGGCAAATGTGTGTGTTAGTATTGGTTCTCGTCAGAAAGTCAGTACTCTATGTGTTCCACTTTCTCTACAACATTGTGTTTTTAATACTTTACCAGCACCCAGTGCCCCGCCACAAAGCGTAACCATATCAAAGAACGATGGGAACGGAACTGCAATTCTTGTTAGTTGGCAGCCCCCTCCAGAAGACACACAGAACGGAATGGTCCAAGAATACAAGGTAACCTGCCAGAGTTACTCTATTCACAGACACTCCTTACGCTGTAAGGAAAAAAAACGAAGCTGGTTGCATGGTTTATGTGTATTTGGCGCCATCTGCTGGTAAAAGCAGTCTCTTGTAAAATTATATTTTCAAAATCTTGTTCATTCGGTAAAGATGCAGTAAATGTTGGTGGTATGGGAGGGCTAGAAAAGTCTTTTGGAGAAAAGAATTTTAAAAGTTGAACCTAATTACTCACAAAATGTAAACAACCAATTGCAATGCTAATAAAAGTGTTCCTAGAAGGTAGCTTAAAAAGTTATATAGGATTAGATTACCAGGTAAATTTGACTATTGACCACATCCTGTAATTTTTCCCCATATTCACAACTTTATAACCTTAGGTAGACGTTGGCAAACTTTTCTGTCAATTTTGGTTTTGGTCTCTAGACACAACATTGTCTCAGAAAAATGTATTTAAAATATCTAAAGGGTTGTATGAGTGTTACATACATGTGATAGCATGTTAGCTGATTTAGGAGCAATGATTCTGAAAAATTATGTCTATCAGTGACGTCTTTTTAAATGTGAATAATATATTTAATAAAATTAATTGATATGTATATAACACTCCACCAAACAGCAAAATGTATTTTACTCTCAATTGAACACAGAGTGTTCACCAAAATTAGACAACATTATGGACTCTTTGATTAATACAGACCCACAGACATTTTAATCAAACTCTTCTCAGGCTTCCCAAGGTACAAGACACACTCAGTGAGAGATGTTCTGTGTACCCAGAGGATGGTGTTTATCTTACATCTGTAATCAATCTATGTGATAAGACCCTCCGAATAAATTATGATAAAGAATTGATATATTAATCAGGAGAACTTTAGAAAAATAGATCTTGTGTGTATTTTAGCACTTGCACAAACACACTGTATACTAGCATTTTGACTGCAAACCATGACCTTCTTGACACACTGATTTATATTTCTATGGCACCTGTCCATTTTTCCAGGTACTAGCGAAATTACATGCTGAGTGGATGATCTCTTACAGGATAGCTAGGAAGATTCTAGGAAAACGCATGTGACGAAACAATTACGCCTCTTTCATAAACTTTATGAAATATTCTCGTGTGTGAATATTTTAAAATGTACCTTTGTTATGAAACTTATTTGAAAAGGTGACATTTTCCTCCCTTCCAGAGCAGGTCTGCCACTTGGGGTTTCAGGCTTCAAAACTGCGTGTGGCATAATTGTCCAAATCTCCATCATCTAGCCAGATAGAGATGAGCTGATCCAGTGGCAGCCTTTCCACGAGAAGCTATGAAATCTGGCAGGTGGTTCTGATGGGCATCCTTGTTAGAGAGGATGGGCTTTTTTTCTTTTTTTAAAGCAGCAGATTAGCTTGTAAAAGAACTAAATAGATTGAACTTAATTTAGCCAGGGCATTAGATTCTGAAGTGATTTAGTAAAATATTGAAAACCTCATTATGAAACTTGTATGTGTTAACTAGGCTACATCTTCGTAAAAGTATTTCTAATACTGCCATAAATACACTTTGGCTATTGTGAAGTGTTCTGGCCAAGGTTTTATAGAGTAACGAAATCATTTTAGGTGAAAGAATCCACACTTCTTCGGTGCTTTTTACAAGCTTCAAGGTTTTATCTGTCCTGGAAAGTGACAAGATGCTGTGTCCCATTCCAGGAAAATAGACTATTCTAGAAGATTCTTAAGGGTCTCAGATGAAGTGATGGCTCAGCTCTCAAGCAAAATTGTGTAATGCAGGCATTTTCCCCTAAGAGTCAAAACTCATTTCTCTCCTGAAGAAATGCGAAGGGGTAGATTTCACTTAACTTCATGGTCAATTTAAAATAATAAAATGCCTTTCAGAACCTGATTGACTGGTACAAAATCAGTTTGTGGCTTTGGTTCAGCTGTGTAATGTAATTGGGGAAAAAATTCACAAAGGAGTCTTTATTTCCAAACGGTCAGATCCTGGTATAGCGTTTGACCATTCGCTCCTGGTATGCAGTTAAACTATATTAAAATAGAATAAACATCCAAAGCAAAAAAAAAGGGGGGGTTTTGTCCAATTGATATAAGGTCCAGGGATGCTAAGATTTATTGTAAATACCCTCAGCAATTACAGTTAGGACACAGGATTGCTTGAAGTGAATCCTTCCTAAGGCCTTAGGGGAATATGACGGGCAGAAGTGCTTTGCTGCTGTCTGGCTTAGCACCTTACCCTGGGGGGTTTGATTCAGACTTTGTTCTGATCATTTGATCATTGCAGAAAATCACTCTATTATTAACCTTTTAGTGCAAGTTAAAATAAGGATTAGAGTGTTACTCAAAATCTTTATTTTCCCCAATTTTTCTATTACAAATGAGATCTTCAATAACTTGTCTCTAATCACAAAAATGGTGCATTTTGTTTTTCAAATCAACTATGTGTTGTATTTCTTTATGAGCTCATATATCTTGAGGAAAACTAATTCTGTTTAAAACTAGGAACACTTGTGGAAAATGCAATTAAAAGTTTTATGTTGATGCAAACTTTTTAACTCCAGGCATAGGTTTTTCATATGAACTTTCTTTGAAGTTGATGAAAAATGTTTACCTATGTGTGAATTTCAACTCTTTTGCATTTAAATATTCTTTTAATCTCATTTTCTATAAATTATTTGAAATGCTCTTATGTAAGGACACAGTGCCAATATCTGTCATTGTTAATTGCTCTTTGTTCCACAGGCTTCTTGGAATGGCATGAGGTCCTTACTTTTTACAGATGTGTTTAGTTACTTAAAGGGGAAATTGTAAGAGATAAGAAGACAGAGACTCCTCCACTGCTGGCTTATTTCCCCAAATGTCCACACGAATGCGCTGGTGTGGCCAGCTGGAAGGCAGGAGCCTGCAAATCCACCTGGGTCTCCCAGATGGGGGCAGGGTGCCAATCACTTGAGCTTTCTTCTGCTGGTTTTGCAAGGACATTAGCCAAGAGCTGGCTAGAAAGTGGAGCAGCCAGGGTTCAAACCAGCACCCACAAGGGACGTTGATGCCAACACTGAGTCCTTCTTGTTGATCATCACATTTTATTTTGGTTTATTCCTAAGTTCTTCCTCCTTGTTACATGAGTTGCTCTTGGGTTTGATGCCAGGAAGTTTTAGCCCAGAGCAACCAAATATCTCACTCAGTTTCCTGTTTCGTTTTTTTTGTTACTTTGTCATGTGGCCTCATGCCTAGAAAGCTCACAATGTGTTGTTCTTTTGTTTATTTGTTTGCTTTTTTTCTTGCAAAGAATTTCTTGCAAAGCAGAAGAATGAAAGCCTTGTGATGTGGGGTGATATAGTACTTAATGATGTGATCTGATAGGAGTTAGTATCTTTAGAAGTTTCTAGGCACTCCTGTTAGATTCCATTGAAAGTGGATAGGAAAGGATAAAGGGGGTGTTGAAGCTACTACTAACAACAAGTTTGACTGGAAGAATCTTTCCAGAACTAAATCTTAGGGAGCGTGACTTTTGAAAACATTGTGTTCCTGGTACGTCTCACCTCTGGGTAGATTGGAAAGTGTGATCTCTGTCGATCTTTGTATTGATTTGCATCATTCATCAGATTGACATTCATGCTTACAGGTTTGGTGCCTGGGCAATGAAACTCGGTATCATATAAACAAGACAGTAGATGGTTCTACTTTTTCTGTGGTCATTCCCTCTCTGGTACCTGGGATCCGATACAGCGTGGAAGTGGCCGCCAGCACCGGAGCCGGGCCTGGGGTGAAGAGCGAGCCCCAGTTCATCCAACTGGGTGAGTGTTGCCATGGATGTGGTTCCCTCTGTCTGAGTTTGCTTGTACCCAAGCCATTATTACAATTCAGAAGAACCTGGACTTTGTAGCTACAAAAACTGTGTTCTCTTAGTAACAAAAGAAAATGTATGTGAGTGCAGACATAGAAACGAATACACGTAACTGAATCAACTACACATCTTAGATATTTAAAGGAAATGTCTCTCCTACATTTTCCCCTCTATCCCATGGTATTATTTGAGAACCAAGGATACACTAAGGAACAATAAAAGGTCGATTTTGCCCTTCTTGTAACACACAGTTGTTTTGGTTTGGGAAAAAAAAAAGATATTTGGTACAAAATGTTTAATAGGTATTAAAAGTTCTTAGCTATATACAATTCATATTCACATTAGTGTCTTTAAAATTGTAGTAGCTTTTTTGTAACAAAAGATAAAACAAGATGTAAAAGAGCATCGACATATTCCACTATGCTAATTACTAGGCAAATCAAATAGGATTTATGTCTCAAAAACTGTAGATGGCTAAAAGCAGATATATAGGAGACTTGGTCACCACAATCCATTTTAGGCAATATGACATGAAGATAAAACATAAATTACCAAGTGAGTACTAGTAAGTTCTAAAATATAAGTACTATAAGCACGAACACAAAATGCAGTTCAATTTAAAAGGAAGGACAGAAAGGTCAGATATTAACAAAGGACATTTAAACTATGAAAGAGATGGAGAGTTAGGTGGCCAGCTTTGTGGTGGTGTGTTATCAATGAGAAGCACTGGAAACGTGTGAGGGACTAAATTATGAAATGGATGAAATATGTGAGTGTTTGTATTTTACCTGCACCTGTTGAATTGTTAAGAGAGTGCTAGTAGCTGTAAGACACATACATGCCTGCGGACTTCCTGCGCTGTAACACAACAGGATGTACATATCCAGTTGGTTCGGGGGAATCTCAACATTTATGTCCACAAACTAGTGAGACGTGATCTCTACAATGTGTGGGGACTCCAAATGTTTGTGCTGAGGCACTAGGAAGGAGAGAGGAAGTACATCATGTGTGTGGGGGGGTGAAGGCTCCAGGTCTGGAAATGATACTCAGTATTCCCACCGGATGTGGTGACAGGCAGCTGATTGGGACACTGTGCCACAGCGCGCAGTCACTCCTCTGGAAGCTGATTCAGATCTGTCTGGGCAGAGGCCTTCCCATCCAAGCCTTTAGCCAAGAACTTGCTTTCTCTGTCACAGCCATTGACTAGAATTTGATTGATTGATTTATCTTTGAAATTTCTTTTTAAAAAAAGATTAATTGTCTTTGTATTTGAGAGGCAGATTTAGACAAAGAGGGAGAAAGAGAAAGAAATCATCCATTTATTCACACTGAAATGACAAGTTCTTCTGTGATAGCCCTATAGATCGGTGGTGATGGCTATCTGCTTGAATACCAAGCAGCTGTAGATCTTGATTTTTGGATGATGAATTGTGAAAATTACTTAAGATTTAAATCATATGCTTTAAGAGTCAAAGTCCCTTTCTTTAATATGTGTTTCCGTTTTCTGTATTTTGTCTCTGTGGGGAGACAAAGACTGGGATATGGAGTGACTGTTTTAATTCATTAGTCACACTACACTTTGTTCTGTTAAGCCCATCTGATCTCTTGCATAGAACCTCAGTTGGCTGTTTCCATAAAATCTGAAGCTACCCAACTTAACCTTGCACAAATATCCATGAAATCTATAAACCTAGCAGATACAAAGATGTGTGAGGAAAAAAAAATAGGTCTGGGTGGCGAACTGACAGAGGTTGAAGTGCTCTGAGGATAACCAGGGCTAAAAGGGTCTGGGATATCAAAATCAAACGTGCAGTCAACAAGCAGTGGGGGACAGGTGACTGTTTGTGAAAACAGGCTTTACAGCCTTGATCTACCACGGGGTAAAACCTAGGATTCTGAGCAAGAGAAAGCAAACACACACACACACACACACACACACACACACACACACACACACACACACACACAAAACCCTGCCACCACCACAGGCACAAACACACATGAGAACGAATTTAGCCATTTCATATTGAAAGGGCTGTTTTTTTACAAAAGCCTGCTTTCTTGGCCATTAGATGCTGCTTTTTTTTTTTCTGGCTATAATCTCATCTAGATACACTATCATTTAATAAGCAAAAATAATTTGTGGAAGATTTTTTAGAAAATGTTTCAATATAATGTGTTACGCTACTTTTTTTTTCCCCAAAGAAAGATATATGTAGGAATTTAGGGAATGGAAGTTGTGTCTGCTTTGAAACAGATTGTCTGAGCAGCATTGTGTCTGCTTTGACACCTCTGTGGAGTGCTGTAACTCCGGCCCTGCCTGACAGTGTTGTGGGGCTTTGGCTGTGCTGCCTTCTGTAGGCACCCAGCACAGTGCCTCAGTGTCCAGTCTGTGCACAGGTGTTGCTCTCCCAGGAAAGCTCGTCTGTTCTGGCAGAGCCCCTGTAGCTCCTGTCTGATCTCTGTCCACTCTGCTCGTGCTTGCCAAGATGCCAAGACATGCCCTGTCTAGGAGAGCCTGACTCCGGGCAGAGGAAGCCCCATGTGTTGGTGAGAAGAGTCACAGAATAGGCAAGGCAACACGATTACACTAAATAGAAGAGGTCACTTCTGACTGGTGGATCCAAGAAAAGAGGAGGACTCAGAAGGGCCAGTGAGAACGCCCCAGTGGCCGTGCGACCCGCCAACAGGAGGAGAGCTAAGGAGAGAGAGAGAGATTCAGAGAGAGAAAGAGAGACAGTGAAAAAGACAGACACACTGACAGAAAAGAAAGAGGTGGTAGGGTAGGGGAGAAGCTGGATACTGAGGTTTTCATAGTCAACGCCTTCCTCCAGGTATCTCATTGGGCATTCCAATAGCTGGGCCTATGCAGTGTTTGCCAGGTTGGCGCTGCTACTTGACTGTACAGTCCACAAGTGTTTGGAGCTGGAGGTTGAGTGGTGAGTCAAGTGGGTTGTTCTGAGGCCAGTGCCATGGTACAGTCTGTTAAGCTGCCACCTGTGATGCCAGAATCTCCTATGGGTGTTGATTTGTGTCCTGATTTCTCCACTGCTGATCCATCTGCCTACGAATGCGCCTGGGAAAACAGCTGAGTGTAGTCCAAATGCTTGTGACCCTGCTATCCAGGTGGAATTCCAGTCTGACCTAGTCATTAGACAAGTGAACCAGCAAATGAAAGCAGCAGATGGATGATCTCCCTCTCTCTCTCTTCCTCCCCCCCCTAATTCTTTCTAATAAGTAAATAACACTTTTTAAAGTGGTGTGGTATCCCCATGTGCCATAAGGCGGTAGTCACCAGGCAAGTGTCTGCTAATCACAGGCAGAAACAGAGAACTGAAAATTATGTAAATAGGGACTCAGTCCTGCTTTTGCTATGAATGAGTTAAGTCCAGATGTAAAATGGATCATGAGGCAACATAAAATCATAAAAAGTTGCACCATGAATACCTTCGGAATCAGGTGACTCATAGGAAATCACTGATGTAAGTGAAATCGACCAACACCTGATTTCAGCATTTGGAGAGACATTAAAAGCACAAGTACCAATGGGAATTCTACCCATTGGCCAGCCCCAACATTGGCATCACTTGGTGCCAACAAAATGGGATATTGGTTTGATGATATGAGAGTGGCCAGCCATTTTCTACAAAGACTTTGCAAATTGTTCTGTGTGATCTGACGTAATGGGACTAGAGAAATGTTCTTCATACGTTGAAAACATGAATAAGTAAATAACTTATTAATTCTTACTAGTTCTCTATTCCATCAGTTTTATAATTCTCAAATCACAATGGCTTAAAAAATGTAAGTCTTTTTAGCTCTTTATAACAATTGAAAATACTTGTCCATATTTAATGTTCTTTTCATATACCCCTTGATGGTAATGGTTATTATATTAAAGAAAGACTCTCAATTGTTATTTCAATGGTACCACTTTTTAAAAGTTTTATTGTGTGTCAATGATACTGAATTCTTCGTGCCTTTCTGAACATAGATTCAATTGTTGTGTCTCTAAGACAGTTAAGGGTCCTGTGAGATAAACTTGGAGATAGGACACAGACAGACATAAATCTTTTGTTAATGTCTGTCTTACAGAGGAATAAAATGTTATCTCTTCCCCCTTTTAGAACATGTATTTAAAGATTTCTATAGTCTGAAAAAAAGCTGTCTTTTCTTTCTATATTTATTCAAAGCTTTTTTTTTCTATGTGCATTCATTTTTGTTTTTCTCAATTAGTTGACCCTATCTTGGGAAATTTAAGGAGTAGCATGCAGTTTGGTGGAAGCCAACAGAAACAAGGGTAGGACAGCAGAAAATGCCCCTGGGTTCGTCTTCATGCTGTGCTAGAATGCCAGGGTTCAGTGCCTGGCTCTATCCCCAGCTCCGACCCTCTGCCAATGGGCATCTGGGGAAGCAGCTGTGCTGGCTCCAGTGGTGGAATGGTAGCTGCCTTTAAAAGGAGACCTGGATTGAGTCCCTGGCTTTTGACTTTGGCATGGCCCAACCCAGGCTGATGTAGGCGTTGGGATGTGAATCGCCATAATGTAAACAATCTCTCTCCCTCCTTTCTCTTTTTCTTCCTCCTTCCCCCATCTTTCAACACACAGACACACAGACACACAGACACACACACACACACACACACACACACACACACAGATGCCTACACCATTGCTTTTGTTTTAAATTCAGTGCATATAATTGTCAGCCACTTTTGAATAAAAAATCAGTATACTTTGACTGCAAGTATCCTAAACTACTTTAATTAATAATGGTTAGTCATGTAGAATGAAAAGCCATTCATTGTTGTCCAAAAATAAAAGAATAAGGAGGGCAATTTAATATCCCGGGAGCATGCTGACATTGTCATGCTGAGTTATAAAACCCAACCAACCCGGATTTGACTTTTCAGATTCTCACGGCAACCCCGTGTCGCCTGAGGACCAAGTCAGCCTTGCCCAGCAGATCTCGGATGTGGTGAAGCAGCCGGCATTCATCGCAGGCATTGGGGCCGCCTGTTGGATCATCCTCATGGTCTTCAGCATCTGGCTCTATCGGCATCGCAAGAAGAGAAATGGACTCACCAGCACCTATGCAGGCATCAGGAAAGGTCTCAACTGTCCTGCAGTTTTCGTAGTTTACTATGTGTTTCAAACTCTTACCTAAAGGTTTTTGAATGTACTTTTGATTGCAGCATTTACACGGGAGGGTCCTTCAAATAGTCCAGAGGAAATGGGTTTAAACCCAAACTATGTGGATTTCACAATCCATTTACTTACACCAAAAAGGAATTTAGCCTTTAACTTATTTTTTTCTGTGAACTTTTTGAAGGGCCCTGGTGTGAATTCTGGTTCAGGATCAAGTCAAATACATTTTCTCAGCGTCTCAGAGTCAGGTCCCTTTAAAGTAGATTTCACCAGAGATGGTCTAGACTTGGATATTGTACAAGTCCTGGTTCTCTTAGGAAAGTAATATACTGTTTTATATGTTTGAGGAAAAAAAAATTTAAGATTCTATCCACAGGAATTACAGATGCAGGCTTTGAATCGGTTCAGCCATATTTAAGGGGGACATCGTTGTTCTTCATGAGCCAAAGGGAGAAACTCCTTAAATATTCTTGTTCATTTTTTTTTCCCTATGAGCACAGAGAATACATGACTTGGTGATGTGTTTTAGTTAGCAGAGCCTGAGTAGAGGTTTATTGTTTTTCAATGAACATTTCCTGAGCATCTTTAGCCAGCTCATTTCTCTGGCATTGCCAGAATCTGGGCTGCTTGCTCTGGCTGGGGTGTGGCTAGGAATTTACACAGTCATCTGGGACAGCAGTCTAAATGGGTTATGCTCGCTGTGACCAGATGTCCTGGCTAAAAGGAGTCAACAGCAACCGTCACAGGGACAGCAAACATCAGCCACGGTGCCTCCTGCCAGTGACCCGGCAGTGGTCTTCTCACCTGCACACGTGCCTTAGCATTGTCATGCTTAAACGTGTTTTCCTCAGACACATGTCAGTATCCTTGCATGTGAAATGAAGTTGGAGAGCCTTTGGGTCACTGCAAGCAGAGCTAGTGTTCCTGATGAGAACAAAGGAGAGTGATGGGAGGCCCATGGGTGCCATGTCAGGTTCATCGCTGGGAAGGGGCCCGGAGGAGGCTGTGGGGTGGAGTGTACAGGAATGGTATGTTAGGGTTGGACTGTGTTTGAAAACCGACTGGAATAAGTAATTTGACTAATGAACAAATGTAGGCAGAGTCTCTTGAACTCTCCAGTCCAAAGACCTTCATCAACTCCATTTTGTAAACAGCCAGTCAGTGGGATCCTGTTTTTTATCACAGCGAAGTGTCCAGGCTGTGTGATTATAACCATTCAAATGCTGCATATTGTCTTGAAGTCTAAAAATGAGGCAGGAAATCCCACCCATAACCCCCAAAATACCTCTTTTTCCTTTACTAATGACCTTGGAGCATGCGGACAAATGCCTGTGTGCCGTTTCTGAAAACCCTACTAAACTAATACCATTGTTCTTTCTACTAGCTTGTGTTTCTGTAGAAATCACAGAACATAATTACAAATGTAATTTGATGAGTATTGACTCTGCTTTCCTCCCTTCATCCTGTTGGCATTTTTTTCATAAAAAATGTTCATCTTGAGTTCTTATATTTTTTATGTCACACAAATTGCTGGGAAACAGGTATTTAGCCTAGCAATTAAGACACCTGTCTCCCTTTCCGAGTTCCTGGCTTGGAGTCCTGACCCTAGCTAGCTAGCTTCCTGCTAGTAAAGATACCTGGAGACAGTGAAAGTGGCCCCGGTAACTGGGTTCCTGCCGCCTATGGGAGAAGTGGATTGAATCCCAGTTCTCCAGCTTTTGTGTCTGGTCATTGCAAGTGCTTAGCAGAGTGAACTAATGTATGGGAGCGTTCTCTCTCTCTCTCTCTCTCCCTTTCTCCCCTTCTCCCTCCCTCTCTCTCTCTCTCCTTCTCTCTCTCCTTCTCCCTCTCTCTCTTCTCTCCTGTCTCTCTGCACCACAGATAGATTTACTAGGTTGCATAAACAAAGCTGATCATTTTAAGATGAGTGGAAGTGAGGTATCTAAAATACAGGTCAGCATAGAAGAGTCTGTTGACCAGCTAACTAGGGTATGGTTTTGGTTAATGGTGAGTACTTAATATCACCCCCTTCCCACTGTGCCTCCTAAATGGAGCTCTGGGTACAACGTCTGCTGGACACCTGGTAACCCCTCCTCTGTTACAGTCACTCATTGCCCCAGCATTGCTGGGTACACTGAGAGTTTATTATGTTCCTGGAAGCTCCGAGAATTAAGTTGTTCTTTGGTGTGCTAATAGTGAAAATTTCATTTAGCCTGACCTTGTTTCTTCTCTCCTTCAATTCCTCAAACTGGGCTTAGCAATGGAGCAGTAATAACAAGGGCCTTTCATATGTTCCTTGTGTCCTTGCAACAGCCAATTAATGTTCAGGCACTCCATTCTGGTGTGAATAGCTTTAGTTTCAAATGTACTATCTATTTTTTTTATGAAGACTTGTTGTGGCTTGGAATTTTTGAATGTAGCTAAATTACATTGATTCACTGAAAAGATGTATCTCAAAGAAGACACAATAGAATTGTCAAGGCAGGGGCTGTTGTACTGCCAATGAAGGCCAGAGATTTAATTGGGTCCACTGCTTAGATGGGTAGGTTTTGTTCCTTCTAGTACCATCTGAGATAAATTGGTTAGGTAAGAAGTGGCCATGGTACAGGATGCTCTTGCCTTCTGGTTGCAAACCCACATGCTCTCAACCCAAAGTCAAATTCTCTTCCTGTTAAGATGGGAAACAGGAGATATATTTTTGGCAGCTTTTCCATGCATGATGTGTAGTCTCTATTCTAATTTTTTTCAGGAGTTTCTTAAGCTGACTTTCATCTTCAAAGGAACAATGTAAATTCTCCCCCCTCCCCCTTTTTTTTTTTTACCAGAGCAACATTTACTTTGAATTATCATGGCAAGGTTAGAAAATAAGTCAATATCCTCGCTCTATGAAATGCCATGGAAATTGTGCTGGTGCTGTCCAATGCCCAGGAATGGCAGAAGATGGAAAAAGTGGGGGAGGAAGCACTGCTTGTTTTGAGGTCTGCAGTTCAATTTCAAGCATTATTGATTAGATTAAGATTTATAACTGCAGAGAGTGAAGGGTTTCAGAGGGTGTTATTGTCCTGTTGTTTTAAATTCTCACGTAGCTTTAAAGACAAAACATTGAGCCTACCCCTAGAAATCGTGCAAACATAGATTGGAATTGAAAAAAATGAAATATAAAAATGAATGTGTTTGGGTTCATTCACAAATTTTTGTGATAATCAATGTGAAGCATTGGACAGTGTGGAATGTCAGACAGCCAGGTATTTGTCGTTGGTGAAACAGTTTGATTTCATGGTTCTCTTTGTTTCCCTTCCTTCCTTCCTTCCTTCCTTCCTTCCTTCCTTCCTTCCTTCCTTCCTTCCTTCCTTCCTTCCTTCCTTCCTTCCTTCCTCCCACTCCCCCCAGCTCCATGGCAAACACTTACATTCACCTATGAGTTCACATTAATAAGCATTTACTTTCAGATTTCTAGGTAAAGTTCCAGCAAGTCCCTGATAATACTTGTTTAAGAATCCATCATCCCGTGTTTGGAGATGATTAATAGCAGACCATTCCTGTTTGTACGAAAGCCGAGAGCTAAATCTGTGTTGCTAAACTCAGGGTCATCCGCAGGCTAACCCAGCACGGTTCCCCAAGCACACTGGGCTGTCAGACACTTCAGAATGGTACCTGTAGAGGCAAGCTGCTTTTGTCAACCTCAAAGTTGGTTTTATTCATATATCAGATTGTCAGAACAACGGGCTTAGTTATTTACATTTGTTTTATGTTCAGCTGTCTGCTTGATTTATACTAATGTGATATGTTCGCTTTCTTTCTTCAGCTTAATAACTGGTTTATTTTTTGTTTTGATTTTTCAGTCCCGTCTTTTACCTTCACACCAACAGGTATATTTTTGCACTTACCCTCCTCCTTTCCTTTGTTAGTTCGGCATGTGTTATACTATTATGTTTCTGTTTTTATTTTCATTTTTTTTCTGCCTGTAAATTGAGGGGAAGGACATAAAATGGAATACAATACTTAAAATAGCCACACCAGGCATGCCTTGGAAGTAGAAACGGTTGGTGTTGCTTTCCACCCATCAAATGCAATTGTTCGCTACCCCACGCTGCCTCGCAGTCTTGTTTGCATGTGTTTCATTAGGTAGACACACTGCTTCTGACCTGAGCATGATTTAACATGCTAATAACCTTATTGATTATTTCATACTTGGCAGTGGTTTTCCTTCCCTTAATTAAGCTGCGATTTCAGGGGTTTTTTTCCAACAATAATTTCTTTCCCTTGTAATCCTCTGTCCGGGGAATCAATACCCTTAAAGATGACCAAAACATCCAGCACATGGGATGGATAAAACTTGTCGTTATCTCCAAGTCCTAGCATTCGGTTCTCTTCAGCCTCTTGCAAAATGGGTCCTCTTCTCTGGGCTCACCTCTGCTGGAAGGGGTACCTGAAGTTACGCTGCCCGCCTTTAATCCTGTTACAGTAATCATTCGGAGCAGTTATCTCTCCCTAACAGACTCCCAGTTTGGAGTTGTTCTAAGTAGCAGAATTTGGCAGCTTTTGAAAACTCATTTCTTCCAAGAAAAATGTGTCTGTGTTTACAGAAAAGCTAATCTTCTTAACCTCAGGCCTAACTATGTTCAAATTCTTACTGTTGCTGTTATGGCTACATTTTTTTATAATTGCCAAAATTTGTTGTGCTGGAAATGCTTTCAAGAATGTTAAAATGTGTTTTTATGATAGGGACATGTCTGATATAAATATAATACAGATATTTCTGTAAGTCACAATGAAAAAATAGGACACATTAATTGACAGTCACCGCTTGCTGCGCCACTTTGTCTGTAGGCAGATTCACCAGTGAGCTTTGCTCTGCTGGTATTCCGAGCTCTGGCAAAATAATCCACTAGAAGGAACTTTTTACTGAATTTAAGATTATAATTAAAAAAACATACGATGTCATAAACTCAAAACTGAACAATGTGTGGGAATGATAATGTATAAAGGTGTGATAATTGTATTTAATAGGCTTGTACTGAACTTTTTTTTTATTTCTTTTGGCTAATTCTTAATCATGTTGTAAGAAGAAGCTAAGAGTGATGTTGTCATTGTAAGCACTCTTAGAAAATGTCCAGGTGGATCAGAAATCTGCTATAGCCTGTGGCTTTTTGTGATTCTTCTGAGTAGAAAGAGAGGGAGAATGCCACATAGAGGAGATTTTTCACAAAATCAACCATTTTAAATACATCAGCATGGCTCTTAACTGTTCCTTTTTCTTTTTTGTGACTTTCTAGTTACTTATCAGAGAGGAGGAGAAGCTGTGAGCAGCGGAGGGAGGTAATTGTCTCACTTGTTTTGTTGATCATAAATGGGTTTCAGATGTTACTTATTGTATTTTTCCATGATGTCACTCTTTTTGCTTGGAAGATTTGATTTAAAGGCGAAATTTCTCTATGTCCTTAAGAGGGGGGGGACCAAAAAAAAAAAAAAAACAAAACAAAAACCACTGAATTATGATGTTGAACCAAAGCTTCAGGCACAAAAATGCAGGTATTAGGTCTTAGCAGGGACAGTTGCATCTCAGCAAATGAACACCAGAGGGAGCACGTGAACCAAGAAAAAACAGACTTGCTGGTATAATAGATAATTAACAGGCGTTAAAGTGATTAAGCCATGGCATTTATGGAGATTAAGAACTATGGCTGGTTAAAGATAATTTCAAAGAAAAGTGTTCACTTGAAAACCTGCTGAACACAGCAGTTGCTCGCCAATTGTTACAGGTTATGTTTGTTTGTTCTTGTTATGGAATCAACGTAGTTTGCATCTCCATTTTGTAGGGAAATATGTTCAGATGAAAGAAGAAACCTAGGTAGGCTGTGAACAAAAAGTCTTTTCTGCACTCTAATTAAAATTAGCCTGGATCTTAGGTTTATTATTATTATTATTATTTTGGTCATGATTATTCAGTGAACTTTAATATATTCACCGAGAAATCACAAATTGATGTGACAGGAGGCTTAAAGGGGCTGAAATAAGGTATCAGTTACATGAGCCAACTGTCAGGCTTTTCCACAATAAGTGTTATTTTCTTCCCCAGAAACAGTTTCATCTGGCTTAAGGTATAAGAAAAACAATCATCAACCAACCAATTTTCTGATTCAGGCTTGATTAACTTACCTCATGTCCTTGTATAGTTAAAAAATGTGCTCACTGCTACTGGGCAGTGGGGAAGCTTTCCTCCTGAATCCTAGAAACAAATCATCTGATGCCAAACATTGAAAGGTTTGGCACAACACGTGCATACCAATGAAAGGACGGTGACTACCGACCATCTTCAGTACAAACCACACACATTTGGCAAGAAGAATACTCGTTTTCTTTCCTGGGCACTGCTTTTCTCCTGTTTTCAAACTTGTGAAACAAAACCAGATGCTGGAACACCCCCCAAAGCTAAGGAGATGTTCAAAATGAATAAAGCCACTTACTGTGGGAATCCAAGCAGAATGTGGTTGTGCGTTTGGGAGAAACCCCTCCGATCCACAACCCCTCCATGCGTGCAAGTGCCTTTGGTGCCAGAACAGTACCCTGTGGGTAGCTGTGGAATGACTGACTGTCAACCACCTCTCCACAGGTCTACAGTCACGACTACAGGCCTCAGGTTTTCTGTTCATCCAAGTCTAGGGAAGTGCCTTTTGAGCTTCTTATATACGTTCTTCACTAGTTCGTGTGCGTGGACTTGTGTGCACAGGCTCACACACATGTGCAGAGTCAGAAATACCAACCTGGTTCCTGTTGTAAAGGAATTTACAGCCAAGACACACCAAACCGTCACACTGGAAACAATGCCAGAAGTGCTGAGGGAGCAGGTCTAGTTTCTGTGGCAGAACTGACAACGTGATGTGCACCTGCATGGGAACCTCACTGAGACGCACCACAGACATGGTTTTTTCTGTCTATACTAGAATACCACAGAAAGACTGATCTATGTAAAAGAGCAAGCAGAAAGTATTACTTTTCCATAATGAAGGGATGGGAAAGGTTAGGATGTTGGAAGAAGTGTTGAGTTTTACAGATAATTTTATTTGTTAAATATATTGAATACCTACTGTGTGACAGCTGCTCTTTTGGTTGCTTGGAATGTATCAGCGTGGCATTTAAAATTCTTGTCCTTATGTTATGGTGGGGGAGATAGATGACAAACAATCAGTGTCTTTTTAAAAAAGTAGAGTTGTGTAGTATCCGTAGTTAGTAAGGGCAGTGGAGTAAATTGAACATGCAAGAAATACCGAGGTGCATTAGGAAGAGGCGTCACTGCGGTGTGTGATGGTAAGGGTCTTTGCGACTGTTTTGTGTTCCAGCAAGTGTGGGAGGATGAAGAGCAAAGCCCATTTCTGCATTGCCGTCTTTCATGTCCATCCCCTACACTCTGATTGCTTTTGGCTTTCCACTTCACTTGACTGATAATATACAAGCCAAAGCTTTCTGGCCATCCCCTCCCAACTTCTTCATCCATCACGGCATCCCTTTGACTCCAGCTCTGACCTTTGGCACTACCCCTAATATTCCTTCACTTCAAGCCCTTGTTCTCCTTTTACCTAATCTATGACAGAATTTTTCAGCTGGCCTTCCTTCAGCTTCTTAATGAACGCTACATCCTGCCAATTCCATTTGCTCACTGAAACAAGAATGAGCTTATGAAATGCATATTGATCATATCTGTGAGCTGCTGAAAATCCCATTTTCTGTAGGACCCAGCATGATTAAAATATCAAATCCCTAACTCAGCAATGCATGTGAAACCTACAAACCTGAGGGCTTTGCAAATTCACTTCTTGTCCCTTTGAGCAACACACCACAATCAGTGTCACCTACCTGGTATGTGCCAATATTGGATTCTGTTACCTGGCCCTAACACACTGCATCTGCTTTATGTCGTTGCCCCTCATGTGTTTGTTGAACTTCCCCTTCTGAAACCTTTCTCAAACCTTTTGCTGTGAACAATATCGTTAAGCACCAAACAAGAGCAACACAATTCTTTTGCTTCAGTCATGCTCATTCTCAAACAATATCCAGCCCAATATTGTTTGCATAAGCAGAATTTGATAATATGGAAAGGCTCATTTCTTCATGTATTTCCATGTGTGCATTTGCACTGAGGTGGCCAAGTTGAATGGGTACAGCAGAAATATGACTGTAGAGGCTTAAGAGGTTGCCATGTGGTCCTTAATAGAAGGGGGTTTGTCGATCTTTAGTGTATGATACCCCTGGGAATAAAAAGTGAGACCTGGAATACCTATAGACACGACCTATCGTTTAGTGAATTTTTTTCCTATTGCTTAATATGATTCAGTAAATTATGTCAATACATCCAAATATATCATGTGGATTATTTATCTTTGAAAGATAGTACCAGTATCTGTCCAAGAAAGTCATGATGGAGTAGATGGTTAAATTAATGTTGAAACACCTGAGTTCAGTTAGTGATTTATTTTGAGCTAAGTTTTCACTCTAGTGAAAGACTTGGTAATCTAGGACTCTCTTCTAATTCCCAAAGATTAGAAATCCAGTTCCCAGAAAGGAGAGAAGGAGGATCATGGCAAGCTGGGTGACCCTCTGTCACCTGGAAAAATGCAAAGTCTATGTGAGGTTATTCAGGGGGTCAACCATAGGAATATTAAGTAGCTGTGTGTTCCTATTCATTTAGTTTGCTACATCAAATATCCTAAAATTTCTTGGAAAAAAAAAACTTAAAATTCTCACAAAGACATGAACCATGTCAAAGGATTGGAAAACTGAAGAGGGGTTAGAAATCATGCTGATTTTACAGGGAGTGCCAGCGTCATATTTCCTGTCAGTGGGATGTGACAAAGAAATACAGCTCAAGCCCTGCTGCTCGGTATAGCATTGGCTGGCTTAGCTTTATCCCCCCGACTTGCAGCCCGACAACCCTTAGAGCCAGCTTTTACCACCATTTTCCCAGCCCCTGGACCCTGGAGTGTTTTATTTTGTGGTTGAATAGTTCAGATAATTTTTCCCAGAATGTGTGATGAAAATAACTTAAGAAAGACAAGATGAGAGATTAAAGGTCATTGTCAAACAATGATTAAAGTACATGTGTCTTCTTTTGCTTCATGACACAAATCTACTCCCTTCAGAGATTTTAATGATACTTAAAAAAAATTCATGGAAAATGAATTAAAAGATGAGTTTATTTTGCTGTAAAGGCATTTTAAAACTGCATATACACAGAAACGATAACATTACATATCCCAGCTGCTGGTTCATCCTTGTAACGTTCATTTTGCTTTTGCTTAGGTATTTTATTGTTGGGCATCTAAAATCTATTTCAAAAGCACTAGGTAAAGCTAGACGTATTAAAGGCAGCCTATAAAGTTTACAGTTTCAAAAGACTAACACACCTAGGGCATTTTAGTATGTGTTTGGGCAAATAACTATGACTCACACCCAAATTCAAGTCTTAAAAAAACCCCAGGATTTAAGTTGTTAATCTTCCTTCCTGTTGGAAATCACCCATATGTGTGAAAAGTTCTCTCAGCCCCTGATGACATCAAAGTATTCAGTGAGAAAGTGGTTTTCACAGGGATTCATAGTAGCATAGAAATATTGTTTATTCATTTTCAAACATACAACTCAAGACTGGAAAATTTCTACTTGACCCATACTTCAAACACCCCATAACATCTGTACAGTGTCAAGTATGGAGTTTTATTTTTAATAACTTCTACAGTGATAACATTCATAGTTTAAGTTCAGGGAAAATAAAATAGGAAAACTAAAGATTACTCAGGGAGGAATTTCTGCAACTGACATCTATTTCAAAGAACCCAGATAGCTCTCATAGAGCTTGCATTTAAATGTTTGAAATTTCAACAGCTCAGCGGCATTACTCTTCAAAGCGTGTTCTTATCAACAATTTTAATGGTCTGTTGGCTCAGTCTTTACAGCTTTATCCTAAATTTCAGTACTTCAGATGGGTTTCTCCTCTCTTCCTTTTATTAAGAATATGTGAGAGCTTTAGGAGGCTTCCACACACTCCAGCATGTGTGCTTTTTTCCTTCTGGATGCAGGAGAGAATTCCAGGCCTACACTGCTTGAGTTTGAATCCCAGCTTTACCATGAATTCAACTTGCATGACCATGTGCAAGTTTCTAACACTTCTCAAATGTGCCAGATTCTTACATGTAAAGTTTGCCTGTTAGCAGCGTTTTCTTTGTAAAGTTGTGGTGTTAATTAAATGCATTAGTTAGTACTTGTGAATACATTCAGAATAAGGCTTCATCTTGAAAACAAAGAGTATGTACATTCATTTTATTGTATAAAGAAATACACACACACAATTGAATACAGATATTCTGCATTTAAATGAATTGTTCCTAAAATGACCATTTTTTTTTTCATAATGAACTTGCTCAGTTGATGACTTAGGAACTATGGTAGGGGAAATGTCAGGTTTTTGAGTTTCAGGTAAATGAGAAGCTTAGTGACTGTACTTTATTAAAGCAGCCACAAATGAGCAACGAAGCAAATTAAATCTCAAAGAAAATCTTTGCAGCGTCCATAGTACCCGTCTGTTGGGACAAGTCATACATTGTCACCTTTTCTGCTGAATTATCACTTTTGTCAAGGCTTTGGAAAGGACCGGAATGAATGGCCTTTGTGGACTGGAGTTGTAGTCCTTCGCACCAGTGTTCCGAGTCTCCCATTCAGAATTGCTTATGTATTTTGCAACTCCAATGTGTTACCACATTACCATCTGTTAAGTTTCCCCTGCCTCCCCTTCCAGAAAAAAAGGAATACTATTACATCTTGTTGTGTACAATTTTGTTTTACCAGATTCAACCCAGTAGCTTTCCTTTGCTTATGTAGGGATTTAGGGCATTTTTGTTATCACCATCAGAAAATGTTGACAGGCTTCCAGAAATGTGCACTAAAACTTTGATGGGGCTGCAGGCAAGATGTCACAGAACCTCAAACTTTTTGGAAGAGTCTCTAAGAAAACTATGTAAATGTGCTCACTATGAAGGCTCCATTGTCTAAGTAAAACTCGTTCCGTTTTTCAGTAAAGGTGTCAGAAGACTTGTGAATTTTTGACTCAAGTAAAAATTGAAAATATGAAAACTGCCTCGTCTAGGATATTTGTCAAGCCACTAAGGGACTCAAATTTATAGTATTTACACATTCAGATTTCATGTTTGGTTATTAATCATCATCTCTAAATATATGGTCGATCTTATGTGTAAACTCTTCCAATTTACATTTATTTTTCTGAGCAAACTGATGCAAACCTTGGAACATGATTTTGCAATTTCCTTGTCTGTGTAGCATAGGGAATGATATCACTCAGCATGATTCAGCTAGTTGTTTGTGAGAATAAAGCTCTGAAGAGCATGTTGGCGTTCGCAATAGGAAATATGCTGTTCTATTTACATAACCTTTGCTTGTCTATTTCCCTCCTCCTCCTCCTCTCCCCTTTAGGCCAGGACTTCTCAACATCAGTGAACCTGCCACACAGCCATGGCTGGCTGACACGTGGCCAAACACTGGCAACAATCACAATGACTGCTCCATCAACTGCTGCACAGCAGGCAACGGGAATAGCGACAGCAACCTGACAACATACAGTCGCCCAGGTTAGGGACACAGAGAGAACTTGGACAACGTGTTTTCATGAAATGCTTGCTATAGACTAGCAGACTAGCCTGATGCCTGTACTTCTCCCATCCCCAATCTTCCATAGCTTACCTTCCATGAAGATTTTAGTATAGCATGTAGAGTGTAAATTCTAGAATAGAATAGAATTCCCTGTAGAGTGTAAATTCTAGAATAGATAGCAAATAAAGAAAAATGAAATCATTTCCAAATATCTCTCTTTTTAAGAATGTATGTGGTTATGCTGTTTAATTGCAAACTATTTAGTTATTTGTAGTATTATTTTCAGCATTCAGGGAATGACAAAAGTTCAATATATCCATAATTGTAAGAAATGTACCATAGTAGTAACAGGATTTTAAGTAAAAAATAACACAAACTTTAAGTCACATTTTATTGTCTAAAAATACTAGAGATTTAGGAAATATGTGTTTTTTAGATGAGTGTGTGCATATAATTATTTCCTATTATATATTTTTATTAAGAAATATTTTGTACTTAGCCATAATAGGAAAAGATTGGATGCAAAGTAAAAAAGATTTCAGATAACAAAATAAATGTTCTTTTACAAAAAGTAATCAGTATTCACATAGAAAATATTGAGCTTAAAGATGACTGTGGACATAATATAGCATTTGTAATTCAAGGGAAAAACAAGATGACATTTAAGCTATGGTTTAATGTCTTATAAAGAATAAAACCTAGAATAGTCTGTGTGCATGTACCCTTAAATCCTTCTTATGTTTTTTCTTTTACTTTTAAAGATTTATTTTGCTTTTATGTGAAAGGCAGGGTTACAGAGAGAGAAAGACAGATCTTCCACCTGTTGGCTCTGCTGACTCACTGCCCCAAATGGTGACAACAGCCAGAGTTGAGCCCATCAGAAATCAGGAGTCAGGCACTTCCTTTCTGTCTCCCATTAGGGTGCAGGTGCCCAGACCTAGTTCTCTTCTCCTGCTTTCCCAGACCATAAGCAGGGAGCTGGATAGGAAATAGAACGGTCTGGACAGGAATCAGCACCCATTTGGAATGAGGGGATTGCAGGTGAAGGATTAGCCTAGTTATCCTGAAAAGCGAATATTCACATAATCAGTGGTGAGAGAAGCACTATGCTGACACTTACAAGGAAGAAAAATGGTGATACTTATTAAAATTGAGATTTGGGACTGTCTTGACTAATGTGGTAGCCAGAGGCTACTGATCGCTATTTATATTAAATTAGTGGAATAAATACAATTTCAATTCAATTTCTCAATTGCTCTTTGTAATTCAAGTGCTCTGAAGTGACATGTGCCCAATGGATACTCAACATACAGAGCCTGTGTCCATCATTTCAAGCAAGTTATTGGAAAACATTCATACAGAATGATCAGCAAAGCAAAATTAGATTATCAGAACATTAGTACCTTTATGTTATTTCTTGACCACTATTAAACAAAATTTAATACATAGGAAGACCAGATGAATTACATATCCCTGCATCCCAGGCCTTTATGGTTGAAATGCACAGTTCAGTTAGATAAAGAATTTATAGATTTGCTAAGAGTGTATTCATGCTTATTTATTCAGAGTAGCAAGCATGTTAACTTATCATTTCTTAAAAACGTTGTTTAAAAACAATTCTCTAAAAAAAATTCTCTAACTTGATAAGGTTGGTAACAATTTTAAGCAACATGAACAAAGTAATGATGTTTTAAGCTTAATTAAAGCTTTTTGTTCCCTTTGTCTGAAATCTCAACCCATATACTTTGTTCTGTTGCTTCAACAACTGTTTCTAATAGTGCAGTAGTAGCCCAAGACCAGACCATTTAAAGTTGACAATAAAGGTATTTATACCTTTATTTTTTTAAGTGATATCATTAATAATGAAGTTGGCAAAGAAAAACTATGTTAAATTGGATGAAATATTTGCTAGAAGAAATTCAAGCTCAAAATGATTCTCCATGCAGATTCTGTCTTATTTCATCTGGTTTTGTTTTCTTTAGAAAGTGTATAAGACTCTGTGTGTCGGTCTTCCTTAAGTCCATTTGTACTATAACTAGCAAGTTCACTGTGACTGGCAAAGCTACTTAGAAATTTAAAACCAAGAACCCTGCAGAATGACGTTTTCCTTTTCCTCTCCATTGCACATAGCTGATTGTATAGCAAATTATAACAACCAACTGGATAACAAACAAACAAATCTGATGCTCCCTGAGTCAACTGTTTATGGTGATGTGGACCTTAGTAACAAAATCAATGAGATGAAAACCTTCAATAGCCCAAATCTGAAGGATGGGCGTTTTGTCAATCCATCAGGGCAGCCCACACCTTACGCCACCACCCAACTCATCCAGTCAAACCTCAGCAATAACATGAGCAATGGCAGTGGGGACTCCGGCGAGAAGCACTGGAAACCACCTGGTCCGCAGAAGCAAGAGGTGGCACCAGTTCAGTATAACATCATGGAGCAGAACAAGCTGAACAAAGGTGATACGCTTACCATTCTCTCCCATGCTTTGCTGTACTGATGCTCTTGACTCGTCAGGATGAGCTGTTGATGAGACTTGCCTCAGACTCTCAAGTCAGACCATTTCTTTGGTTCCCAATATTTTCTTATTTCTTTGGTTTCAAAATTTCCAGTGTCAAAAAGTTCATTAGCACAACAATAACACTGGAAAATTGATTTTATAATAATATATAAGCATTTTCAAACGGTTTTGAGATTAATTTAAATTTAATAGTAGGTAAGGAATTGCTGAGGACAGATAATCTTTTATTCATAAGGCAGATGTCCAACCACAATACCTCACATTTTCCATAAATAGACTATCCCATTCTTTCCACTTGAGGATGAAAGATAATTGCTTCTACATGGTCATATAAATGAATGGCATTTTTATATTAAACTGAAGGAAAATAATTAAATTAAGCTTGAACTGGAGAAGTGGTTCAATTTGTTGTATTATACTTACCTCGTGTGGGTACTAAGACTTGCAATATATATAATTTTAAGGCCTACATTTCTTTGGTTGGCCTGATTGAAGTCTGTCAGTATAGAATCTAAAATAAATTGAGTTTAGAATTAACTTGAAGCAGCAGAATAGTATTTTATGGCCTGAGGGGAATGTTTCTCCATTGTAATGTGTGAGAGTTGGAGGAGATAGGTATTTGGTTTCTTTGTAGTCCTTTAGGCTACTGCTTTAATAACCTGATTTGCAAAATATACCTCTAGAAAAAAGGTATTGCTCTAATGTGGGGCAATGTTGTGCAAGTACCCAAGTAAGAAATACATTTTATTGTAGATAATTTGAGACATAAACTCATGGGCATGCATGTACTTCCGAAGTGTTTTGTAGTAAAATGAAATTACCTTTGAATTCAATTTTTCACTAACTTTTTTGTAGTATTGTCATATTTTCCTTTGGCTTGAGTTGGAAACATTTTCTTCAAAAATATAACACATTGCCGATGAAGATTACAAAAAGATAAACAATTCCTTTGATAGTCTTTGTTTATCGGATGTGTTTTAAATTGGTTACGAAGTCATCTAGCCTTTTCCCACGTTCAAAAAAGCAGCTGATTGAAATGACAACCTAATATAATAAATATTTAAGGAGAGCACTATATGAATTCATGACAAAGATTGACAAAAGTGAATAGAACAGTTTCTGCAATTATGGGATTTACAGGGGGGATTCAAACTGTTGTCCCATTATTCTTCGTTAGTGTGTGGTTTTACTCTTGACTTTGGAAAGCTCTGACAGGCTTCTGTACAAATATTTCCAATTGTTTACATTGCCTGTAAGCAGATTTGGTAGCTCTGACTGTAATAAAGACGCTGGAATGCAACTAGACTGACACAAGATTAACAGACTAAATTCCACTGGGGAGCTTACCATTTGGATTTTCACCTTTGCCTAAGTAAGCAGAAGCATTTCTGGGGCCAATTAAGACATTTTTGTTTCCTTATCGTGGATATAGCTTTTGTCAGATATAATCTTGCTGACAGTTTTCTATTTTAATATGTATTTTAATATAATTTATGTTGTATGATTTGCAAACATGGTGGTTTTATGATCTCTATTACTATTATTACGTTTTGTAATATTTTAACCTTAGATACCTTATATATAAATATGCTTACAGTTAAAAATATATATATATATGTGTGTGTGTTGTGTGTATAAATCTCCATTTTTAACCTAAAACTTTCATTTCTGGAACATCTGAATGTAAAAACGAAAAGTGAGTAAGTAATCCGGCTAGTTTCTACAGTGATTTAGAAATTTAAAAAAATGATTTGCACAATGAAAATCATATTTATTTTTTTTCCAACTGACATGTCTAGATTATCGAGCAAATGATGCAATTCCTCCGACTATCCCCTACAATCAATCATATGACCAAAATACAGGAGGATCCTACAACAGTTCAGACCGGGGCAGTAGCACATCTGGTAAGTAAGGGGAAAATCAACCTGTCCTTTTAAACAGATGGTGCTCCAAGATCAGTAAGTGAATGTCGGTGGACTGACCAGGTAGGAGACATGTTTAGCCATTTCATATATTTTGTATTCCTAGCATGAGTCTCATCTGTGCAACGCAAGAGACTGCCTACTCGGTGACAGGTGTATGTTCTAAAAGCCAACAATAACTGAGCATCCTATTTTCTTCCTCATTAATGAGTGCTAGCAAAGCCAGATCATGGGTTATCTTTCAAAGGAGTTACATTGTGTGGGGGTGAGGAGGCAGCATTATAGCGGAATAGATAAAACTGCCTGCTGTGATGTGGGTATCCCATGTGGGCACTGATTTGTCTCCTGGCTACTGCTCCATTTTGATACATCTCCCTGATAATGGACTGAGAAAGCAGAGGTACATAGTTCATGGATCTGAGTTCCCACTAGCCAGGTGGGAGACCCAGAAGAAGCTCTTGACTCCTGGCCTAAGACCAATCCAGTATAGGTTGTTGCCCGATGAATGAAGCTATAGTAATGGATGGAAGACCTCTCTCTCCCTCTCTCTCTCTTTCTCTCCCCTTACCCCTCCTTCCCTCTCACTCCCATCCCTCTCCCCCTCTATTTCTAATGTTTAAAAAAGTTTTTTTTTTTTTTTTTTATCATTTTGTGGGAGCAAGCCTTTCCCCTATGTATTAAGGCACTGGTTAGGACACCTGCATTCCACATTAGAGTACCTGCATTCTCTTACCAGCTCAAGCTCCTGATTCCAGCTTTCTACAAGTGCACACCCTGGAAAGCAGCAGATCATGCTCTGATAGTTTGGTTCTCTGTTCCAGGCTTTGACTCCGGCCATTGTGGGCGTCTGTGGAGTGAACCAGCAGATGGAGTGGCGGGGGATGGGGGAGGGAATGCTGTGTGTGTTTTTATCTGTCTTTGCCTGTCATTCTCTATCAAATAAAAGATATTTTATAAAGCTATTTTCCTCACCAATCATACCTAAAAATATTATACACATAATTTGCTGAATATATTATGATCTGAAACTGCACTTTGAAAGCACATAGTGTTTGAGGATACTTGAGCAGAATCAAAGGCCTAGAAGTCAGTAAGAGTAGCTGTAGGTCCAATGGGGACGAGTCTCTGTTTCCGATCTCTCTACGGTTCCTCAATGTTTGTACCAATAAACTTCTGAAGTAGTCTCCCAACTTCAATCTGTAAGTGCCTTGAAGGCCACATTGAGGCCTTTTTCCTGGGATCTGCGTGCTATTACAGCTGTTTGCCAGCTGCCCTTCTGATAGGTCCTACAGATGGGAGCTTGCTGGTACTTACGTCCTGTTTTTCTATTTAAAGGCGGTTCATTATTCAAGCTAACATGTGGCAAGTCACATCACAATGAGAATAAAATCGCTGACCACAGGACCAGCCTGTGGCTCCAAGACACGGTGAAAATAGCACCTGCCAGCAACTGGATTATATTTGTTGCTAGGTGTTTTTTAATTAAGTGTTTCTGCCCTTCTTCTGTTTTTCTGATTTTCTGTTTTGAGTAAACCATATTAAAAATATTTTAATTGTTGAGGATTTTATGCATTATATCTTTGAATTCTTAGTCCCTTCCGGAGAGAACCATTTCTTAATGGGAAAAACTCTAGTTCTTCCATTCCCACAGGTTAGGTAGCTAGATCTTGAGGTTTTATAGTTACCATTTGGTGTTCTGTGAATAGTTTGTGAAACAGTATAAGGGTGTACGTTAATTATGGTGACAATCAGGGGAGAGAGCAAATCAAGTCAATGAAATGTAGGAGATATTTTGTGATGTTGGACATCTTGAGAACATGTACATGTTATAGTGGCTGTGTGTCAAGAAACCAAAAGAAAGATGCTGATTAGTGTCAGCAAGGCCACAGAGTGGCAGAAGAGAGCACAGAGACGCCTGGGCAGAGGGCTGGTGGGCCTGGTTCATTAATAACAGCCTGTCCCTCAGCCCACACTGGGTGCAATAACATGCCTGAGCAAGAACATCTGGTTTAACACACAAACCCGTTATACTGAAAACTCCCTCCTGAGTTTGGAAAAAAGAAAAAAAACTGCTAAGACCTGTTTCATGCACCATGTAACTTGGAGCTGTTGCTGATATGGTTAGAAAGAAAAACATATGACCAATTTGATGAAATTGAAGTATCACATGAAAATAAAAACAATTTTGGGCTTATTGTCCGTAACAGCTATCTGAATCTGAAATGTATCAGGGAGAAACTACAAAAACTTCCGTCCACAGCTTTTAAGAATGAATGCTGTCAAATTCATGGCACACTATTTTAAAATCCAAGTCCAGTCTCTCAGAGCAGAGAGTTGGAGCACTTGAATAATTGGACTGTTTCAAACTACTAGGAATAATCAAGCAACATCATTTTACTCTAAATCATAATTTTAGAAGCAGTAGCTAGAAATCCTTTTGTCTTTTTTTGCAGATTATTTTCCTGCCTCTTTTGTCATTAGTTTTATTCTCCCAGCAATTATTTTCCTGCCTCTGCCTTTGTAAAGCAAGCTGGTAATATTATCGTGCCTAAAACACTTCAGTGGACAAGTACAAATTATATATATTCAGTGATTTAAAGCAACAGTGGAACTCTAATAGATCGTATCTATATCGTATTGTATTTTGGGTTCCAGCAATTAAATAATAAAAAGCACTCCAGAAAATATGTCTACAGCTCATTTGTTTTAGATGATAATCCATAATGCAATTAATTGCTGCAGGAAGATCACTATTAATGATATGTCTTGTAAAATTCATTTCTGGTTTTATTCCTCTTTTGCTGTGTATTTTGACAATAAACTTGATAATATTTTACCTCTTCTGTTATACAAAGTTCTGTTTAAAATTAATGAGAAATGTTTGTTTCTACATAAAAAAATACAATTATAAGATTATATTTATAGAAATGATCCACTTGGGAACAATGAAAAGTTTTAACGCCAGAAATAAAAGGTGTATGTTCTGTTTCTGTTCTAGGGAGTCAAGGGCACAAGAAGGGGGCTCGAACACCCAAGGTACCAAAACAGGGTGGCATGAACTGGGCAGACCTGCTTCCCCCTCCCCCAGCACACCCTCCCCCACACAGCAATAGTGAAGAATACAGTGTTTCTGTTGATGAAAGGTAAGAGACCTTCAGAACAGTTGCAGAGATGTGGAGTCCCGCCGAGGCAGCAAGAAATGTAGTAGAGAGAGGTGACTCTGGGAAGCCCAACATAAGCCAGCTAATGAAGATATGGATGCCTTGCCTCTGTCTTCAGTATTTTATTCTCTCTTGGTCCAAGTTATAAAGTACTTCTAAAGCAATGGGAGAGTCCAGAAAAGGAGAGCAGAGGCAGGAAGACTAGAGGTGGAAATATCATGAGAAAGAAATGTGATACACACCAGCCATTCTAATTAATAACCATATTCCCTGTGGTAAGACACCTGTGACTGGTCCCCAGATACATATTGGACCCTGCACAGATCTAGCAGAGGTATTGAGAACCTTTTCGTTATTTTGGAGGTATTTTATTTTTTACTCACCAATCCACAATGAAAACCAATTAGTTCATTTCTATGCTTACTGTAACAACTAGTGATCTGTTTTGATTTCAATTGGGAGGTGCATTGTATTGGACTAAATCAGTTGCTCTCCGGTGTGTCCAAAAGCATTCTCAAAGAAAATGTGTTCCGAGTCCAAAACTCCATCTTTGAATTCAATGTCTTACCTTCTTTAACTCCTGTTTTAGAAAGCAGGTTGAACTAGAGGGACAGAATACACAGCATATATTTGGGATATCCTCAGTTAAATATGTGGAGTGAATTTCTTTATCACTTGACTTTTCAGATTCTGTAATATACTATTGCAGTTGGCAATCTCTAGAAAAAGATTGATATATAGTATTTCACAAAGCTCTATGTCCTTGAAATTTTAATATATCTAACATATCCCAGCATATTTCGATTTGAAAAAAAAAAAACAAATGGTGTACTTTCTATACAAAGAGTTTGTTTGGCAAACATGAATAAGTCAGCCTGTCTTTATTATTTGTTTTAGCTATGACCAAGAGATGCCATGCCCTGTACCACCAGCAAGGATGTATTTACAACAAGATGAATTAGAAGAAGATGATGAAAGAGGCCCCACGCCCCCCGTGCGGGGAGCAGCTTCATCTCCAGCAGCTGTGTCCTATAGCCATCAGTCCACGGCCACTCTGACTCCTTCCCCTCAGGAGGAGCTCCAGCCCATGTTACAGGACTGCCCGGAGGAGATTGGCCACTTGCAGCACCAGACAGAAAGGAGGTACGTTTTGTTGGCATTCTTGATTGATCAATAAAATCCCTTCCACTTCTTAGCATGTTTATTGAATACAAATGATGAAATAATTTCCATGTCATTTGAGCTGGTTCTTGGAAAATCACCCAACAGTCCAAATTATGAACTTATCAAGTGGTATTGTTGACTATCACATTAAACAAATTGACCTATGTGAAATTACAACCATAAAATTAGGTATTAACTCACCCTCTCAAGATGATTGCATTTATAAACACATGAAGACCATGAACATGTCTTGCTAATATGGTGCTGTATTATTGATGAAGGCTAATTTTATGTTTTAATTTTCTTTATACCTAGGTAAGTCTTTGCTTTGGTCTATGGAAAATAGATTTTTCTCCACCCTTTTGAATTATTTCCTCATAATGATTTGCTGTATCACAGCTGCAAATAATGTTGCAGAAGGATGATTTGGGTGTGTTTATTGTATGTTGACCTCAGATACTTTTATTTCAACTTCTGTAATAGTTGGAATGCTTTTGTCCAGGACTGTGGACTCTGGATATGTGATATGTTTGCATGTGCATGTGTGTGTGTGTGTTTGACTTTGTAATATCCGTGGACTGGTTGAGCAGCACCAACCAATACATTTATATTATATATGACTTCACTTGTCATTTCAATGGCATAAAATCAATTACTGCATCATGTTAGCTCTTCTTTCATTGTCATTGTTTGTACTATGTTCTTACCCTTGACACATTATATTTAAAAATATATTACTTTCTATATTCCTGTTAGTGTTTGAAACTTAGCGTGTTGATTGCTCAGAAGACTGTCTTTTTGTATTCTTGAATAACACATGTTGATTTCTGCCTCTGAAATTTTACTTTGTAGATTAAAATACAGTTTATATTTATTAACAATTCCATCAACCAGAAGCTACCGCAGAGTTTAAATTGTGCAATCTTTTTAATGAAAGATTTAGTTATTTATTTGAAAGGAAGAATGTGTTGAATACAAAGTGGAGCAACCAGGACTTGAACTGGTGCCTGCTGGGGATCCAGCATCCTGGAATGCAGCCTACTGTGCTGGGTCACAATGCTATCTCCTAAATAATAAAGAATAATTACTATGTCTTCTAAATAAAATAATAATGTCTCCTAAAAATAAAGAAGTAGCTAAGCTGTCTGTGTTGCCAGGAGTAAGTTTGTTTGCAAAGGTTTAAATGTAAATTCCCTGGAACTTCATGGAGATTGGAAGCCAGGAAAACATCTTTTCACTATTCAGCTCTCAGATCATTCTACTACTCTTTCTAGAAGCAAAGAAGAGACTAATAGAGACTATTTAGCTCTAAACCAGCAACACTCTCATTGGCTCAGATTCTGTATTTTCTCACTCTCTCTCATCAGTAGTAACCTATTATCTTCTCCCCACTTAGCTTGTTTTTCTGTCTCCCTTACGTATCCCTACATAACCCTTACCACCCCCTCGGAAGCAAAACTGGTTTACCTTTCCTTATCCTGGCATGCTGACCTTTTAGCTTCTTCCTCTTCATTTTGCTACTCTTTACTGTTAACTCTACTATTTCTCCACTCTCCCATTTGCTTAGCTCACCCTTCTAGCTATGTGTTCTGCCGCTCAGTGTTGTTTAATTACTTACTTCCTAATTCCCATTCACATCTTAAGCCTCCACATCTTGTTTATGCCATTTTGCTCCCATCCAGCATTCTAATGCTGAAATCTAAAGGCTCTGGCCTTTATTATACTCACTTTCTGCAATGATGCAATTTTATAAATGATTTCAAAAATCAAATGAGATAGTGTATGTAAAGTATCTGAAGTGAGATAAATAATCAACACATACTATTCCCTTCTGCCCTTGCTCCTTTCTCTTTTGATATCATGCCATTGTTTAATTCACTTGTGTTCCTGTTTTTCTTTTTTAATGGTTCCCAGTGTTGATTTTCTGGCCATGTCCTTTCTCCTGAATATTATATTCTCTGGGAAATCTCCACAGGTCCTCATCTAAATTCTACTTTGTTTGACTTTTTACCTTAATACCTTGAGATACTTTTATGGCTATCTGGTTCTGAATAATCAATCATCCTGTATTTGACCAATGTCGTAAAATTAACTAGCACGAAATTCCTTCCAATCTCATTCTAAAATAGCTCTTCAATCTCTTCATCTCCATTCCCACATCTGCCACAGCAGGCTTTTGATCCTTATTCATTGAAATATTGTCCCATCTTGGAATTGGTCTCTACTCTTCATCTCTCTCCCATATCCCTGTTTCTTTTCAATCCTGCATTGCACACAAGTCTGGTAATGTTTTCCTTTTAGAATCAATTCTCACAGGTTGTCCTGATTTTCAAGAGTTTGCACAACCAGTTTCCATTTGCTTATCTCTCATTCCTGAACATTCACACCCCTGCTTTCTTAATCAGTTTGTTTAAAATCCTTGAATTTGAATTTAATATACTGATGTCTTGTGCTGCTTTTTGATCATCCGGGAAGCACTTCTAATCTTTCAAGGTCCCACTTAAATATTGCCTAAGTGAATATTTCTTCTAGCTGGCAAAAATCAACTATCCCTTTCTTTAGTTTTCATATATCTGTTTTGAAAGAAGTCTGTTTTCATAATGCATTAGAATTTGCTATTTGTATCGATTGTTCCTCTATTTAATTACAAGCACTTGGAGGGCATAGCTCTTGGCAAACTTATATATTTGAGTTCTGCAGAGCTCTTTTCAGTAAGTAATTGATGAATGACACTTAGTATTGTAGTAAAATTTGAAGTTAACTTACGTGCAACTGCTTTAGAATGATAGGTACTTATGTGGACTTGAGATAGACATATAACATTGGGAAATATATTAACTATTTGCACTTACAACCAATTTGCTTATGCTCAGCCTTTTGTAAAATGTATTTTCAATCTTTAAAACTCTCATAAATATTATTATCAGTGTCATTGCTGGAAATAACATTGGTGCTAATTTAAAGTAGACAGATATTAATTACATGCAAAACACAATAAAAGATCTCTTAAGGGTTAATCTTTAACCTAGAAGTTAACAGTTAACCCACATACCATCTGGATCTCGTCTCTGGCTCAAGCTCATGACTCCAGCTTCCTGCTAATGCAGACTCTGGGAGGCAGTGGGGATGGCTCAGCTGAATGCGTCCGTACAACTCGTATAAGAGACTTGAACTGAGTTCCCAAGTATCAGCTCTGACTCTGGCCTTTGTGAACATTTACAAAGTGATGCAGTGAATAAGGACATTTTTCCTATGTCTGTCTTTCTTTCAGGCTCGTTTAATTATTACTAGATGATTTTAAAAGCTCTTTATGCATTTACTGTGAATGCATTTGCCATATTAATATGGAAAGTTTGAAAAAACAGATAAAGTGAAAATATTAACATGCCAATGAACTATGTCTTCAGAAAGAGTCACAGTTTAGATCTCTGAGTAAATATCCACTCAGTTCTTCATCTCCACATATACTCACCGTGCTTGGATTTGTGATATGCTACACTATTTTATAAGCCACTGTTTTCACGGATCCTAGGTATTTTTCTGTTTATAATTTTTTATTTAGACACATGTTAATGTGTGCTGTGATCCTTTTTGCCAGTTCCCTGGTGTTGACCATGTATGTTATGAACATCTTTTTGAGATTGTATACAGTGTTGTGATTTTGATCTATGGTTAGGTTCTGGAACAAAGCCTCTTCTCCCTCTCTTGACCCACTTGAATACCTGCCCCATCAGTGGGATGAGTTCTGTTTCTTATCATCCTGCCACTTTGCTAATGATGTACTCATTAGTGATAGATAGCTATTTCTTTACAGGTCTCATTCCAGCACCGTAAACGCAAATATCCAAGTATTTGTTCCTGCAGATTTTTGCTGCCTCACCAACCCTCTGAATGATACATGTAACTGCAGCCATAAATGCACTTTCCTAGTTCCAACAGTCATTTTCTCTCGCCTGCATTACAATAATATTCTGCTAAGTGGTCCTGTTGCCTTTAGCCTTGCCCTTTCTTCAATCTAATCCCTGCCATAGCCTATACTAAGGCATTTTCATAAATGCAATGCTGATCAGGTCTTTCCACTGTTTAAACTTCTCAGTGACTTCCCATTTCCCTTAAAATAAAGGCGAGATGCCTTAATGTAGCAATCAAGGCCTTTTGTGATCTGACCCAGTGTGCCTCTCCATCCTTCCCCATCGCCACTCCCTCGTCACTGTCTTTGTTGTCTTCACTCTCAATGTCCTTCAGTTCCTGGAATGAGCACTTTTCTCGCTCACCTCAGTGTCTTTGCATATGCTATCTCATCTTCCCGTAATACCATTACTCTCTCTCTTTTTGGAGCCAACACCTTTGTATCCTTTCCATGCAAGATCAAAGGGCAGATTCTCTCAGAATCATTCCTGATATCCCTCCACTGGAACAGCAACCATTTCTATTCATCCCCACAATACCCTGTGTTTTATCTATCATGGTGCTTTTACTGCATTGTCACTGAATGCTTTCTATGTCATTAGTGCCTTCTACTGGACTACAAGTTTCTACACACAAACAAGGGCAATAGGTGTTTTATTTAATTAGATACCTAACCTAGTGCCTGAGTTTCAGTTTCGAGTACTGTGTAAGAATGACTCCACAGATTCCTATTCTTTAGGATCTGACCTCACAGTCTGAGCTTCTCCTAACATGGGCGGGAGGGGCAAGGTTAGTGGTGCTTCTCACTCAGAACTTGGCATCTAAGAAGATGAAAAAAGTTGCAAGGCCAGTTAAGAATCTGACTTTGGAATAAGGTCCCAGTCTTATTTCTACCACATTCTACTCAATTGAAACAGACACAGGCTCCCTTCAAATTTAAGTGTATAGCATTAAGCTCCCTCCCTTAATAGGTTAAATTACAATATCTTATTTCAGGAGAGCATTGAGAATAAGAATTCTTGCTTTAAATACAGAATATCTGCTTTGGCAAGATAAATGGTAGTTAATATCAGTCAGGGTACCTTAATGTGGAATTCTTACATGCCATTTCTTAAGCTCTTATTGTTTGCAATCTTTGTAGTATGAATCTACCAGAGTGCCCAAGTAGGAACAGAATAAATGCTTACAAAATTCATTTATTACATGTATGTTTATGAGTTAGGGGCACAAGCAAGGTAATGTTAATATTTACTAACTTTTATGTTACTGACCATTGTAACTCTGCAATATTAATTAATCATTAAAAGCTGCATTGCTACGGGAATTGCAAATGTATTACTTTAATGAAATTCTAGGTTATTTCATTCTTTTCTGAAACTAATTAAACAAAATGACAGTTCTCTTTTTGGACAGTTATGACAATAACTTAATTAAGCTTTTAAACAATATAGTTTAACATGTAAATTCAAAAAGTATCTTGTTCTAATTAGCTGGTTGCAGTTGATATAAAGCAAAACAAATCTCTTGAGAAGTAAGACTAATTTTCCTGTATGAAATAGAAAAATTATTGATATTAAAACAAACATAGAGCGTAATTGGGAAGAAAAGAAATGAGGAATCAAAGGTGAATTAATATCTTCTGCATTTGCAATACAGGGGATAGTCAATTATATAAAGAATTGAATCTATATCAGTGTTAGAAAAAAAGCTCAGAGGTATAAATATATAACCCCTTTTTGTTTTCTGCCTGGCAAATGCTATGTGGGCACTGTATAAACACCTGTTCTCACAAATTAATGGCAGCATTCCCTTTTTCTCTTGAACATGTTTATGAAAGTATCATTTTTGCAGGCGCCTAGAGTGTTGTGATTCTCAGCCACATACTTGTACATTATTTCAGAAGACGTTGAAACCCCTCAGGGGGAGAATTCTAGAGGGCTGAGGTTCATTTGCAACAAGTCCCACTTGAGTGCGGCATCCTGAAATAGCTTTTGTTTTCAAATAGAATATATTACATATTTCAAACTGTACATGTTTATCACACATTCTCTGGACTTGTCTTATTTACAGATGGTTTGAATACATTTTTGTGCGTTTCCTCAGCATTTGCACAGGGTGGTAGTAGTTAAAAGCCAGCCCTTGTTTAACATGAAGTTATTTTTATTCTACAGAATGTGAATTATCCAAACACAAGAATGTTGGAATCTTTTCATGTGAAATTGCATTCTACAGCCCTTTATTGGTGGCCAAAATAGTCTCTTTTGTGCTAATCAGTCTTAGCATGTCTTTATTAAAAGGAATTTCTTGTGGTATTTTGTATGAGGATGGTAACAAATGCTGTATATTAGCTTTTAGGTATGGTATTTTATAGCATTCCAAATTAAACAATGGCTTTCCTCCTATGAGGGCAACACACTCTACACTGAAGCAATTATCAATTTTAATCTGCTAAATAACTTCAGCTTTGGCACATTTTTAAATATTTTTTCTATTGCCACACACAGATACATTACAAGCCACCCAGAAATGAAAAACAATGCAGCATGTTAGACAACTCTGTATGTGTATATACGTGTACATATACATATAATTGTATATATATGTGTGTGCATGTATTTCTTTGTGGCATATATCTTCAATCATGCGTGTATAGTAATACATATTTATATCTCTGTATATGCATGTATGAATAATATCAGTATTGGAAGGTCATAACTGGAAATAAAATTGATTTTATATTTTGGATTTGATACATATTTGCTTTTGGCAAGGACTTCAATTATTATGAATTTCAATTTCCTTGAGGATAAAATAGTAATTTTAAAAGTAACTCAAGAGGCAGGCATTCAGTGTGGTGGGTAATAAGTCCCTGGTGGGTATGCTCTCATCCCATACTGCAATGTCTGGGTTTAAGTCTCAATTTCATTGTCTATTACAACTTCCTGCGAGTGTGCAAGCTGGGAGGCAACAAGTGATGACTCGAGTAGTTGAGTCCTGCCAGGTACTTAAGCGACGTCTTGTCCTCACTCAGTCCTATCTATTGCAGATATTTGGAGAATGACTCAGTGATTGGGTATCTCTCCGTGTGTTTGTCTCTGTATCCCCAAAACAAAAAGCAACAGAAAAATATTGTGAGAACTAAAGGAGTCAGTTCAATATTTTAATCATTTATTTGTGATGTTCTTCATTTGTATTAAAGAAATGGAATAATCAGAGTGTCTCAGTTCAGTTTGTGAGTTATCGTCCATGAGACAATAAAAACTACGATGTAACACTTCATTTCTTTCTCTGTGGTAGAGATCCTGTATGGCTTTGATGTTATTAAATCCCAAAATTTGGTCTCTGCTTGATTTTACTTTAAGAACTAGTCTTAATGATTGAAAAGTGTAATTGTGCATTCTCAGACATCATGTGCTGAATGCACCTGTCTGTCATGGCAGGGAGACAGGACCATATTCTGCCATTAATCCTCTCTCACCTGCTTCTTCTACTTACGAAAACAGAGAAGAAAACAAAAATCAGGAGACCGAGATGAAGAGCCAGTCTTCTCCTTATTTATCTCTAATAACTGGTGATTCGTCTCTCCTGTCTTATTCTGTGAGTTTCATGGTGTGTTGAGGACTCAGCACTATCTTCCCTCTCTAAGGAGGACTCCAATCGTGGCAGCATCTGTCAGCATGCCCGGTCTTGAGTGCCAGTCCACGTGTTCAAGCAGATTCTAAGACATTCCTAAACTTCCCTTGTCTTTCCTACCTTTCCAACCGGTGGAAACCACCAATGAGGATCCTAACCTCAACTATCTTCATTTCTTTTTTCTCTTTTGAGTTATGTCATGACCATTCCATCTGTTTATCTTCATTTATCACATTACCTTTTCTCACGAATTAATGGGGCTGTTGAGCAAATTACTGATTTAGTCTGCTTTCTGTAGAAGACCTGAAACTGGATGATATATAATTACAGGGGATAATATTGTATCATAATTCTCACATGTGGAAATGGTCAGTTTCTGCTCAGGGCCTCACACTGTGCGGAGAGGCAGTTGGAAGTTCCTACAGCTCTCAACCTTGTGACATTGGGAAATAAGTTCCAATATGAACTTCTGAGGGGCAACTGTTCAAATGATGGTGCTAGCTAATGAGTATTCCAGTCAGCATCACTGTATGTCTTCCTTTTTGACTGACATTCTGCTAATTTAGGGATTACACTCAGTCCCCCAAGTTGAAGTAGTAAGCCTGTTTATGTTTATTTTTTTAAAAGGTTTATTCTTGTTGGAAAGGTAGATTTATAGGGATAAGGATTTTCCATCCACTGTTTTCAATCCCCATGTGACTTTTATGGACAGAGCTGAACAGTCTGAAGCCAGGAGCTGTCTCTGGGTGTCCCACATGGGTACTGCTTTCCCAGGCCACAAGCAGGGAGCTGGATTGGAAGTAGAGCAATCAGGACATGAACTGGTGCCCATATGGGATGCAGGCACTAGTAGGTGAAAGATTAGCCAATTCAGCCATCCAACTGGCCCAAGATTTTTTGTAATGGAAATTTAAAATGTTATCTGAAATGCTTTTTAAAAAGCAAAAAACAGAAGAGATAAGGAAGAGGAATGAGAGGAAGGGGAAAGAAAAGTAATATAATTGTGTTCTTAGAATTTTATCTACAAATCACATTGAATCTGTTAAAATGTAGTTGAATTAAAAAAAATAGTTTTCATAACACAGGTCCTTAAGCTCAGGGATTTTCCCTTCTACCCTCTTCTGCCCCTCCCCCCAACTGTTTTCCCCTATATTGTTACAATAATTTAGTCCATAAACAACAGTCACAAGTCCATCATTCTTCTATTTGTGTCCTGATGTTGTCCTGGTATAAAGTCCAATATTCTAGCATCAAGCTCTATTTAATAGTTTTATTGGGAGTCAACCCTTTCTTCAAAAGTAGAGATGCATACTGCAATGTAGCTCCACTTCGTGGCATACTTGCTATATAATAAAGGCAAAAAGTAATAAAAACTTAAAATATGAAGAGATTTAAACGAATATTTGAAAATATAAAAAATCGTCCTATCCTTGCTGACTAGACAAGTATAATTATCACATATAACATTTACTTTCTGTTGTGATTTTAAGTGAACTAGAGATCATTTGAAAGTATGTTATAAGTTATATGGACTCTCCTTCCATGTCCTATAAAAATTGGATTTTCCTTACAGTTGTCTGTGTTAGGGGTTCCTGTACTCAGTCCCCATGGGTGTATGAGAGATGACTGTATTCTTTTATGAGTCCTCTAAGAACAACTTCTTCCCACAAAAATTGTTATCCTCTGAATGCCAACTGCTCTCTTCCTTCTCAGTCATCCAGTGTAGACTACGGTGTTGATGGACAGGCTTGTTTTACGTGCTGTTGTTCATCAAGACTGTGTAAACATGGTTGAGAACAGCTTTGGTAACTCTGTGAGCTTGCATTATGGGATACTGTTTCATTTCATCTCATCTTTTGTTCTCAAGTAAAACTAGGACCTCTGAAAAATACTGTAAGTCTTTTCTCAAGTAAGTAAATGGCAGCAGCACTTAGAGCAATAGAGTTTAAGCAAGCTAGTATGATGAAGTGGCTAAATCAGTAAATCCCAGGCATACCCTTTGTAAATGGAGTAAAATCAAACAAAGTTGTGTAATATGCTGAATACGTAGCTTTTTTAATCCTCTTAAATTCTTTTCCTTATAGTGGTGGTGAGTAACTATTTCAGGACTGCTGTCCTGAATGTTTGAAACACTCTGCCAAATACATAGATGTGTATTCTCCAAATACCTCCTCCTTGTTAACTGAAAATAATCCAAGTGATAAGACATGAGAATACTTACAAGGTGGCTAACATATTTCATATCACAGGAAAAAACAAATTTTGACATATACCGATTCCAGGGCTTTTTGTTTGGTTTGCTTTGGTTTTCGTAAGCAAGTTAGCACAAGTAAAGCGAAGCTCAACTGAGTACATTTCTGAGTTTCCTGTCCATTTACGTCATAAATAATGAATTGAGGCATTTTGATTTTTGGTCCTCAGCAGACGACAGCCTGTGAGTCCGCCTCCTCCACCACGGCCGATTTCCCCACCACACACCTATGGCTACATTTCTGGACCCCTCGTGTCAGATATGGATACGGATGCGCCAGAAGAGGAAGAGGATGAAGCCGACATGGAAGTAGCCAAGATGCAAACCAGAAGGCTTCTGTTACGTGGTCTGGAGCAGACGCCTGCCTCCAGTGTTGGGGACCTGGAGAGCTCTGTTACCGGCTCCATGATCAATGGCTGGGGCTCAGCCTCTGAGGAGGACAACATTTCCAGTGGGCGTTCCAGCGTGAGCTCATCCGACGGCTCCTTTTTCACGGATGCTGATTTTGCCCAGGCAGTCGCAGCAGCGGCAGAGTACGCAGGTCTGAAAGTGGCACGACGTCAAATGCAGGATGCGACTGGTAAGCCATGCAGCTTTCACCAAGCTAGAAAAGACAGTTCTGTGTGTATGCCTATTGCTGATGACCTATTATCTTGTGTCCAGTATTAAAGGCGACTCTAATTACTGTCTTGGTTGCCTAAGGAAACCAAAGTACATGGATATGACTGAGTTGAATTATGCCTCTTGTTTTGACAAGATGTTAAAATTAACTAATGTATTTGAAATTAACTAATGTATTTAAACTGTGTAATATTAATGATAGTAAGCTACCTGGGAAATTCTTATTTTTAAGGCATTCATTTACCAGTATTTATATATATACATATTCAAATATATATATATGCATTTTTACACAGATTGATGAAATTCATTCAAGATGTACAGACATTAAATTAATAGAAGTTCATGATATTGTTTTAATGTAGTCACTCAAATAATTGTACTCTGATAATATATTTAATTACAAATTCAATATATTTACTTTGAAATATTTCAGGAAAAATAGTAAATATTTGGATGTCATATTCAAACATTGAAAATTGCCATTGTTAGTTACTCTCTTCATGCCTTCCTAATTTGAATGTTAATTCAATTAAAATAATAGAAAGATGTTTGTAGTATGTGTATATTTTCAAGCATGAATGTTTCACATTTTTAGTCTAATACTTAGAAAGCAGATGATCTACATCCTAGTATTTTTTGTTTTTATTTTATTGCCAATAGCAATTTTAATAGCTATATAACTATTCTTGTGTTTAAATAATTTTTAATTTGTCTCCTTCTCCTTCCAACCCTGTTTACTAAGCAAAAGAAAAAAATTAAATTTAAAGCATTTGTTACTAATTTTCACATGCATTTCATATGGAAAGATAGGGAGTATGGATACATATGCAACCCACTTGTTCATATACATATTGTGAGCAGGTGTATTTCTTGTAGCCAAGAAAATATAAACAATAGAGTAAAATATTGTTGACAGTAAAGAAATATACCTCAAAGAAAGAAGTAAACCAATACATTTTTAGTTTAATCTTGTTATACAGTGCTAGTTTTTTTCCCAGATATCAGGATTGGTCATTTTTTTACAGTGTAAAATATATTCAGATGGACAGGCATTTTGCCCAGTGATTAAAGAGACCAGTTGGGACACCTGCATTCCAAACTGGAATGTGTTGGTTCCAGTCCTGACTCCACTCTGAAGTCCTAGTTCTCTGCTGGTTTCAATTTTCTGCTGATACATGTCCATGAGGCAGCAGTATTTTCCATGGAGTAGACCCAGATTAGGTTCTGGATGCCAGTTTTGGTACGACCGCATCCAGATTGTTGTGGGCATCTTGGAATTGAAGTAGCAAATGAGAGCTCTCTTTCTAGCTCTCCCTCTGCCTTTTTAGAAAAAGTCATTGGGACAGGGAGAGGATGCAGATATATCTAGATAAAATATAACTCATAAACCAACTCTACTATTTATCAAGAATGTGTTTCAGGTAAAGCGAACTATAGTCTCTCAACTTATTCGTGCAGAGTATATTATTTAATTTTAGCCAGGTATATATTTTATGAAATCCAACCCAAATGTCTTTTTCCCCAGTAGTTACTAAATGAAATAAAATAAGCAAACCAAACTACCTTTCTTAATGAATAAAGGACATGTGGCTTTATATGTAGCATTTGTTTCTTATTTTTTCACCCTCTGTGAAAAAAATAAAGAAATAAATGGAACCAAACATCTCAAACTATTGCATTTGGATTACGTTTAAGGGTATGTTTCAGTTCATTAAGCCAGCGAAATGTAAAATAATGTTGAAAATTCTTCTATAAATGGACTTATGCCTTAGGGCCTATGAACAGTAGATGGCTTCACATAATATAATGAAAAATGCTTTACATCTCAGCCCTAATTCTCTGTTTTCATGGATATGCAACTTTAATTGTAATAATCTGCATCACAGCTAAGGAGAGTTTGGTTTAATGTTTTATTATGTTGTCATTTCGTGGCTCTTCTGGTTTTCCCCTTGCCTCATAATCCTAATGAACTAAACATGCCTTGGTCTCTGCCTGTTACAGCTCCCTTTTCAGGAAATGATGTTACAGTCATGTGACTTGAAGTTAATATAAATGAATAATCCAATCACATTGCTTCTCACTTGGCTGCATTAATGTCTGTTACTTAATATGCTTCACTTAGTATCTTTAACTGCATTGATTTCATTATTTGTGACGTCTATTCATGGATAAAAGACACATCATTTTTATTTAATTTGAAGTTCCTGGTAGTATGGTAGGAGGATCTGGATTTGTGTCTGAATTTGTCAGAACCACAAACAGTAATGGTCAAGCTTTGGTTCAACCTCTGCATTGCCATTAGGGAGTCAGTATGTTGATTGCACCTGCTTTAAGATAGCATCTATTTGAGATGCCAGGGAACTTCATAGTGCTGCAGTGTAGATAGCATGGCTAAATGTGCACCTGCATCTGGGAATAATGCTCTTTAAACACAAATAACCTGAAGCTACATTCCACCACTGCCCAAAACAAAAGTTTTAGAAAAGTTGCCCAAGAATTCAACCCCTGAATAAATCTTAAGATAGAAAAGTAGGGTAGTTAACTTTCAGGGATCCAGATAGATAGGTAATGTAGACCAATTTATGATTATTGGGAGAAAAAAATAAGATATTAGAAGCTTGCGGTTTTTTTGAATGCCATAACAATGGTATTAAATTAAGGCAGGAATATGATTCGGGCTTTTTTTTTTCTACAAGATCTTGGCACTTGCAATTGAGAAAGCAGTAGACATTATACTATGCAAAGAGCAGATTCATATTTTATTTCAAGAATAACATTTTAGGTGAAGCAAAAATATTTGGAGTGTTTCCCTGTAATCATAAGTAAAATTAATTTTAAAAGGTGAACAAATTATACAATCTGAAGAGAAATCAGAGGATAGTATAATTAATTTTAAAAGAACAGACGTGTGATTTACTGTGGTTAAAAAAAACATAAACCTTAAAATGCTCTTTTTGGTATTTGGCAGGTAAATTAGCATGTTCACAAAAAGCCTATTCCTTGCTGGAATTTACTTAAGGTTTTATTTTCCTTAAAGATGCTGTTAGCTTTAAGATTGAATTTTGTTGTCCCCATGGTAGTTAAAGATTCATTGCTGAATTTGGCTCTGTCTTTCTTGCCTCAGGGCGCCGACATTTCCCTGCCTCTCAGTGCCCTCGGCCTACAAGCCCGGTGTCCACTGACAGCAACATGAGTGCTGCTGTAATGCCGAAAGCCAGACCCGCCAAGAAACAAAAACACCAGCCAGGACATCTGCGCAGAGAAGCCTACACAGATGGTAAATCCATTGAAACACATGAAAGCATCTATGAATCTCGCCCGCTTACACCGCCTCTCTAGAAAATGCAATCACGGACGTTAGAAATTACATTAAAAATTCATTATCAGTGTCACATTACCTACACATCTTGTCAAACATCTTGATTGCTGTTTATTAGTGAACCCTGTATACCATTGTTGTTGTTGCAAGGATACTCTATAATTTTTAGCAAAAGACATGGCTCTAGTTAAAGAAATGGCATAGGATTAAACTTCATCAGTATATCTTCCAAAATATCATCCGCTTTTTTTTTAAATTTCACCTGCAAACAGAAGGCAATAGACTTGTTTGAACATTCGTTGTAACCATGGTGGTGTCACTTGGCATCCTCAAAGGCAAATCGAATCATCTTCCTTCATGTGTTCACATACAATCCCGGCGCTCATGAAGGAGGTAACCCTCGTATTCAAGGAGCAAAGTAGGGCAGTGCACACATTGTGATGTTGTCTAGACAAAGCCTTTAATGAGAGTGCCTCAGGTGGCCCAGCATTTATTAAACTGCCACCTTCTCGTTTTATAAAACAATTCCACAGGCTCTGTTGGAAAATCATGTAAGATAAATTCTCTCAGACTCACCCATCTTGTCAAGTTTTCTAAATTTGCTAACAGGGTGGAGAACAAGAGTGTGGCAGGCACGGCTTCCCCACCTCCTGGCCCGGCGTGTCCACAATCTGATTAGGTCTTTCATTACCAGTCAGCAATTTTTCAAAAAGGGCATCGTTTGCCATTATCATATGAAAGCCTAATATTATAGATCCTTATCCGAGGTTGCAAGGAGGGTTTTCTGAGGTACTTCTCCCTGTGATTTCTGCCACTTGACAGAAAAATTTAATACAAAGCTCACAGCATGATGAGCACAAGTAATTTTGCAATGAGTGGCTGTCCATGCTGCTATCTGTACTTTATTCTGAGTATTTTTCTTTCATGAGCATCTATCTGATATTAGACCACATTAAATACTGGCATGACACAGGGCACCTGGGCCTCCTGGCTTCTGCCCAGGACTCTTTTGTCAATGAAACTGACTTGTTAGAATGTTATCTGATTTTGAAGGGTTATTACAGTGGTTTTGTGCAGGTTTGCGTCTGGGAAGGGACAAATATTAAGTGTAAATCCTCAAACTCCACTAACAATTGTGCTTGCATGGATCCCTGTAATGGCATGTTTCAAGTTTTACTGCTGTTTTATCAATTTTTATGATCTTGAAGAGAGTGTGCCTTGCTGGAAAGCTGGCAGAACATCAAGCCTAGAACTAAGCACTACTAGCTTGACTGAGTAAGAGAAGAATCTGGCCGTAGCTTTGTGTAGATCTTTCTGTCTCTTATTTATGTTTGTTTACAGGGGAGTCTGAGATTGCACAGTGCTTTGAAAGAATGCTTGAAATAAACATGCAATTTAAAGAATATAGCAACATAGCTATAAATGATGTCATCTTTGATAATTGAAATCTATGTGTATTGTCCTGCATTCTGCAATATTTATTTAACTGAGTTCAATAACTGAATATAAATCAAACTATACCCCAAATAATAACTACAAATTGAATAATGAAGCAATTAAGTTTTGCTGATAACCTCAGAAAAACCACAGAAATACAGTGAAATATTTGTAAAACCTAAAACTTCACCAGAAATATTTGTATTCTTAGTTATTCATTCCACAAATGATCATACAAAGTTATCACAATGCGTAATGCAGTATAAAAACCAGTAATTATTTTCTCTAAGCCAGAAAAATAAACTAGAGAATTCTGGATCCTTACTGTTAAGTAAAAGAAATGAAAACATTGAAAATTATGTGGTGTTTTCTTTTTTTAAGATTTTATTTACTTTCATTAGAAAGTCATATATACAGAGAGGAGGAGAGAGATCTTCCATCCAGTGATTCATTCCCTAAGTGGCTACGGGATTCTTCCCGGTCTCCCACATACCGGTGCAGGGTCCCAAGGCTTTGGCCCATCCTCAACTGCTTTCCTAGGCCACAAGCAGAGAGCAGATGAAGTGGGACCACTGGGATTAGAACCAGCACCCATATGGGATCCTGGCGCATGCAAGGCGAGGACTTTAGCCTCTTGGCTACCACACAGGGCCCATGTGTTATTTTTTAAATATGCCAGGATCCACATTCATTATTTAAAATCATGTAAAGTTAGATCCTTCTTTTAAAAATATACTTATTTACATGATTGTGCAATGAGTTACAGAAAGAGAGTAATAAAGAAAAAGAAAAGGTTCTCCATCCATTGGTTCACTGCCTAAGTAGCCGCAGTGGCTACAATGGCTGGGGCTGGGTCAGGACCAAGACAGGAACCAAGAACTTTTTCCAGATCTATCAAGTAATTGGCGGTGTAGAACCCCCCAAATTTGAGCCACCTTCTGCTTCTTATCAAGATGCATTAAAAGGAAACTGGATCAGGTCCCCAACCAGAACCCATATGGGATGCTTGCAAACAGGTGGTGGCTTTTCATGCTACACCACAACCGTGTCCCCATTGCAGATCCTTTTTGAAAAATGTAAATTGACGTAGTCTTTACAACAGTGGTCATAAAATGAAGATGAGTCATTCATTGCTCAGAGTATTGTTCAGATTTCTACAATGAATGAAAAAATATCCACACACCATGTCATGAAGAACCTGAATGGCAGACAATTTTTATACAGTTTGGTAAAAGAGGAGAGACCAGAGTCTGGTGCAGTGGTCTAGCAGCTAAAGTCTTCACCTTGCATGCTCTGGAATCCCACATGGGCTCCAGTTCTAAACCTGGCAGCCCTGCTTCCCATCCACTCCCTGCTTGTGGCCTGGGAAAGCAGTTGAGGATGGGTCAAAGCCTTGGGACTCTGCACCTGCATGTGGGAGACCCAGTAGAACCTCCTGGTTCCTGGCTTCAGATCGGCACAGCTCCGACCATGGCAGTCACCTGGGGAGTGAATCATCAGATAGAAGATCTTACTCTCTGTCCTTCCTCTTTTCTGTATATCTGACTTTGCAATAAAAAAATAAACATAAAATCTTGAAAAAAAAAAGGAGAGATTGGGAGGTAGATTTTAAAGAGCTAACAACTGTTAAAAGTATGACTTATGCATAGTATTAGGAAATGGAAGACTCACATGTATTATTTTTTTATTTCTGCTTTTTTATGGCAGAGTTTCTGTTAAACTATATAAAGAATGGTAGCCAGCACTTACCTTAACAATTGAGACACATGCATCCCCATATTAGAGTGTCGGGTTTGATTCCTGACTAGTACTGTGAATTCTAGCTTCCTGCTGATTTAGACCTGGGGAAGCAGCAGGTTGTAACTCAAGTACATTTGAGACCTGGGTAGTGATCCTAGCTTTCAGATTCAGTCTTGGTCTACCTCCAGCTGTTGCGGGCCTTTGGGAATGAACCACTGATTAGGAGTTTCATTCTCTCTCTCTCTCTCTCTCTCTCTCTCTCTCTCTCTGCCTTCAAGTAAACTAGAAACATTTAAAAATCTGGTCAAAAGTGACCCATGTCTGAACTGAGAAAAAGTCATTTCTCCTGATCCTTCTCAGTGATCCCTGTGTAATTCACTACGATTGTCGTTAACAAAATACCCACGAGTTTTGAGGGCTTAGACCCCTCACCGTCATGCAGATTAGAAATCTGAGGTCAACCAGTTAGCAAGGTTTCCTTCTGCTCCCTCTGTCATTGCTTGGTCTTTCCTAAGTGTGCCTGTGTCCACATCTCTGCTATAAGGCCAGCAGTCATGTTGTTAGAGTCCTCCCTCATGGCCTCATTGCGGCTCCAATGGCACTTTAAACACTAAATGTGGTCATAGTCTGACCTATTGGAGTTTAGAACTTCCCCATAGGGATGTGACAGTCCATCACAAAACACCAGTTGCTCATGTATACAGTACAGTCATCCTTGGCTGTGCAGATAAAGGCTTCACAAGCACAGGCGAGTACTGCATGCCATAGTCACACAGAATGCTCTCATTAGTTATTTATTTCGTGTTTGCTGCTTACAAGTTTATCTAGATGAAGGATAGCATTAAAATATATGAATATTTATCAGTGGGACTCTTACTGAGTTAAAGTGTAAGTGCATTTCTAGGACCTTCTAATAGATTCTTTCCACCCCCTCTTTTCAGCTTTTCTAGTGCATTTACATACTTGATTTAAAAACCAAATCCATGTTATTCCTCCAGCCCTACTTGTCATAAATTAGAAATTCACCACCCTCTTTTGAGTGATGGTATTTTGATTTATCATTAATTACAAGGTGTTGGGACTTTAAGCAGTTAAATGCATCGGAAGCCATATCCCTTGCAAGTTAATGCTGTGCTGAGGGAATTGATTGCATGTGCATATTCCTGTGTTACTGCATGTGCATTCTGCTGTTATTTGGAAAGTCGTGTAGACAGAATGGGTGTGAACTTGAGAGTCTTTAAATAGCTCTTGAAATGCATGTTATAAAATCTTACGGATGATTCCCAAATTTTTGTACCTAAATAAACATCTTTTAATTCCATTTCCATGATCTTTTTGGAATACTCTCATAAGGAAAGAACATGTAAATATACATTCATAGAATTCTTCTGCCCCATTTATTAAATTAAATTCGAAATACTCATGGCATGAATTTGGTTTAAGCAATTTTGTCATATTTTGAAACATATAATTCTTGTGATTCCCTATTTGAACTAATAACCCTCTTGTAAGTCCTACAAAATAATTGATTTGCCAATCAAACTAGCCAGCATTTCCTTCTAATTTTTAACTAGATTTAGTGACAATTATATACAGAAACACAGTTCTTAGAATCTTCTTCGGAGTTCTCTTCCCCTTTTGTCCTGTGTTATAGATAGTACCTATGTGGAACATATGCTTATAAACATTTACTAAAGAGCCTTGTATTATCAGCAGTTTATATGATCTTAGGGCGGTTACAGTCACCAATTTTGGTAGCTGGTAAACCCAGACAGGCTGTGCCGTGATGATAAAGGCAATGATTACCTTCCTGAGAACAAGTGTTTGCTATCTGTTTAGGTTTACAGCAAACAGACAATGCAGAAGTGAATCAACAGTCATTCATTTCATCTGGTTCTGCATTCATTTTGCCTTCCCTCCTCCTGACACTGCACTTCCAGCCTCAGTTTGAACTTAGTTCAGCTTTGGGTCTCTTAGTGTACCTTACTCTTAAAAGTGTGTGTTCTGACTCTTTGTTCTTAATAAAGAAGTCGCAGATGTAGGAAGACTCTCATCATAGTATTTATTTAGAAGTATTCTTTTTGAACATTCTTTTCAACAGTGTACAAAAGAGAAAAACCATGCAGTAGTGACAATGCAATGCATGTTGCAAGACAAAATTTTTAGTTTTGTAGACTTGGTAAAATTAGTGCTGTTGGCTATACTTTGGCCACTGTTTTGACTAGAGTGTAGAAGTTCTTTATAGGTGGCTTACATGTATTTCATAGCTATTGATGCCAGCCCTGGTCCAGCTGTAATTGTCACAGGCATTTGGGAATGACCATATCAGAATATGAGATCTTTAGCGTGCTCTCTCTCTCTCTCTTTCTTTCTCTCTGTTTCTCTCTCTTTCTCTTTCTCTCTCTTGGCCTCTCAAAAGGGGTCTATGCTGTGATGTAGTAGGTTAAACTGCTGGGTGCAGCACCAGCATCCCTTTAGATGCTTGTTCAAGTCCCAGCTGCTTCAAATCCAGTCCAGCTCCTGACAAATCTTGTGGAAAGGCAACAGAAGATGTCCCTGGTGCATGAACCTCTGCACACAGGAGGGAGAGCTGGAAGAAGCTCCTGGCTCTAGCCTTCAGTTCAGTCCAGTTCTGGCCACTGCCGCCATTTAGGGAATCAATCAGTGGGTGGAAAGCTGCTCTGTCTCTCCTTCTCTCTGTGACTCTGAGTTATAAGCAAAAATAAATAAATCATTTAAATGAAAAACAAATTTTTAAGATAGAAACAATACTCTACAGTAACCCATTCAAACTGATCATCTCTGTATAATCAGTAATGAAGATTTGAAATTGATGTGGAAGCTACGAGAATATGCACTTTCAACTAAAAGCCCTTTTTTACTTTTGAAATTTAACCACATGAATGTGTATTTATTTTTAAATTAAAAACAAATATTATGATACTAAGAATTAACAGGTGTTATATAAATGCATTTTAATTGAATTATCCTATCACATTTTTCTCATAATGCAATAAATTTATAACTTCTAAAAACATGACAAAAAACATAGCTATACTGATAATTCCAAAATTTCTCTAAGTATTTTTTTTCTTTCTTGAAATTCTGATTTTATATATTTTCATGCTCCAATGGCTCTACCTCATCAACTTTCTAATACTGAATACACAGCCTGTGATTGCAAGCGGCTCATCCTCAGTGCCTCAGTCCATTATTCCGGGGGCATTTCTCTCATCCCCTGCGGCAAAAATACTAAAAATCACATTACATTCTGTCATTTCCCCACTGTGAAATTTACTTTGGATCATTGGACAATCTTGATTTTTTTCATGTTGGCAGTTTCCTTATAAAGACTTATTTGTTTTTTGTTTCGATTTGCTTTGTTTCATTTTTACTTGAAAGAGTTACAGAGAAAAAAAGAGAGAGATGCTCCATTCACTGGTTCGCTCTCCAGATGGCCACAATGGCCAGAACCGAGTTAGTCCAAATCCGGGAGCCAGGAGTTTCTTATGGGCCGCCCTATATGGTGTAGGAGTATAAAGACTTGTTCTGTCCTCTGCTCCTTTCCCAGATCATTAGCAGGGAGCTGGATGAAAAGTGGAGCATCCAGAACTCAAACTAGTGCCCATATGGGATCCCAACATTGCAGGGTAAAGATTAGCCTCCTATGCCATTGTGGCAGAACATGATTTTTCTCTTGATCTTTCCAAAATATATTTTTTCTATCCTGAATAACCACCAACACTGCTGGGTCCACCACCTTTGCTATTGTAGTAACTGTCATTCTTCGTGGATTGATATCTTTCCTTTTAATACAGGGCTGGTGAATCTTTTTCTACCAAGAGCCACTTAAGTATGTTTTTAATGATACATTTTTTTTTTAAATTTGAAAAGCAGAGTCACAGAAGGAAAGAGCGAGCATAAGTATGACCCTCTTTCTGGGGCTTCACCTCCCAAATGGTAGCAACGGCTGGGCTAGGTGAGGCTGAAATTCCTGCTGTGTCTCCCTGAAGAGTACTGGAGCCTAAGGACTTTAACCATCCTCTGCTGCCTCCCAGGCATATGAGCAGAGACATGGATTGGAAGTAGAGCGGCTGCGAACTCATACCAGGGCTCATATGAGATTTAAGCATCGCAGGTGGCAGTTTAAGCTGCTAAGCCACACTGCTAGCCCTCGTTTGAATATTTTAACACCGTTTAGAGACAATACAAAATTTATTAATTTAAAAACTAGCCTGCTGATATATAGTATATCATACTTAATATATAACTATATGCACACACAGGGTGTTTGTTAGTAAATACGCTGAATGACATACCTTATCAGTGTGATATAGATTGCAAAGATTCAGTTGAGGGCCCAGCACAATAGCGTAGTGATTAAGGTCCTCGCCTTGAATGCGCCGGGATCCCATATGGGCACTGGTTCTAATCCTGGTGGCCCTGCTTCCCATCCAGCTCCCTGCTTGTGGCCTGGGAAAGCAGTCGAGGACAGCCAAAAGCCTTGAGACTCTGCACCCATGTGGGAGACCCGGAAGAAGCTCCTGGCTTCGGATTGGTTCAGTTCCGGCCATTGAGACTGCTTGGAGAGTGAACCATTGGACGGAAGATCTTCCTCTCTGTCTCTCCTCCTCTCTGTATATCTGCCTTTCCAATAAAAATAAATAAATCTTTTAAAAATTCAGTTGAATAAAGTAGCATTAAAAGAAAACCACTAAAATAGGAAATTAGCAATATAATGACCTTAGCCCTGATTCTAGCCACATCTAGTTTTGAGATTGGAAAATAACTGAAGGCTGATGTGGAACTGTCTCATCTAAAAACCAGAAAATGAACAGCTAGGATTAGAGATGGCAAACAGATCCTGATTCAAATCAAATCTCAATCAACTTAAGTGGTTCTTGAAGGACTAAGGACAAGCATCTGGAATCAGGAATATCACGTGAAATCAGGAAGCTCTTTCACCATTTCAAGAGGGGAAGTTACAATACAAATGGCCAATATTAGCCATCCCAGAAATAGAAAATTGCCTACTCCAACTATGCTAATCAGTAGTCCTGGGCTGGATATCAAGAATGTGTTAAAATTGTTGGTCCTATTTTTGGGTAGCCTGAAATTGTTTTGTTCACTTAAGGTATAGTGTGTCACAAATGAGTGTGGCTGCAGTGATAATTACAACATTCAGTGATTTTTCAGCCATCAGAATTTTACAGCATCTAAACTACTTCTTTTTAGATCTTCCACCTCCTCCAGTGCCACCACCTGCTATAAAATCACCCACTGTCCAATCCAAGGCCCAGCTGGAGGTACGACCTGTAATGGTGCCAAAACTCCCTTCTATAGAAGCAAGAACTGACAGATCATCAGATAGAAAAGGAAGCAATTACAAAGGGAGAGAAGTATTGGATGGAAGACAAGTTGCTGACATGCGAACCAATCCAGGGGATCCCAGAGAAGCACAGGAGCAGCCGAATGATGGGAAAGGACGGGGCAACAAGGGAGCAAAACGAGACCTTCCACCAGCAAAGACTCATCTCATCCAAGGTACTGATAGAGTCGAGCAACAACTCAGTATGAATTGAGTCTGTGTTCACCAGATACAAATTTATGTACAAGAAAGTTATAGTAAAGCAGTGGTTGCTTTCCATTGGGTTCAAAGGCAAGTATAAACAAACAAACAAACAAACCTCAGTTTACTCCAGAATGAGGTATTATGAAAGGATTTCCAGAATGATGACTATTCAGCTGACTTTTAAAGGAAAGCAAGGTTTCAAAAAGTGATGCAGGAAAAGAGTTCTCAAGTAAAGGAAACATGTTTTAAAAAATATATGAGAGTTAAAAATTAGTATTTGGAGAACATCGGTTTCCAATTCAACTGATACACAGCAGCATGCCTGTGCCCAGGAGCAATTGGTAAATAGTAAACAAGGAAGGTGGAGTCCAGCTGAAAATCCTAGGGATACAATTCTGAGTGTTGCCCTAATGATATAGATACTGATGAGCCAGTGAAGAATTCTAAATGAGAGATGACACAGTCAGATTAGCGCTTTCTTTTAGAAAATAATTGGCCATGAAGAAGAGACTGGAATTTGGTAGATGAGGTAGATGACAGCATAAAAACATTGTAAAAGTAATCTAAATATAAATTGTGAGAGCAGTGAATTCAAGTATTATTAATAATAAAGAGAATGGCACATACAGGCATTTCAGGATGGATTCAGTAGGACTGGATGACAAATTGGGTGTAGAAAGGTATAGTGAAATAACAGAATAAGAATCAGAGAAGATGTTCAAATGTTGATTAGGTAGTTGCACCTGGATAGTGGAGAGTAACTGCACTGCACTGTAGCAAAAGCAGAAGAATGGGGATATTCCATGGGCAAAATTGTTTCAGTGTTGAATAGATTAAGGCGCTGACCAGACCATGAGTGTCAAGAAAACCTGTATGAATTTAGAGAACTAGATTATAAAGATTGGGAGAAAGCTTGAGAAGTGAGCTAGATCCTTTAATACAGAGATCCTAATTGTATGAATTAGGGAACTGGTAAGTATTTAACAAGCAGCTCTCTGGAAGGGTTAAGAAAATCCTAAGTGGAAGTTACCTGTTTCCTTCTTTTGTATAAATACTCCCCAAGTAGCTAATGTCAAGTTATTAATTGGAAGCCAATGAATGTGGAGGTAACAAGAGATGAATGTAATGGGATATTTTTATTTATTTAAGATGCATTTATTTGAAAGATAGTGAGAGTGATCTTCCAACCTCTAGTTCACTGTACAATGGGCTCTTAGAGATGCTGAACCTGCCCCAGCACACCTCTCGTAAGTGATTATTAGTTATTAGGCAGAAAACCATCATTATTCAAAGGAGGGATGGGTGCTATGGTATAGTGGGTTAAGTTATTGCTTGTAGAGCCTAAAGAGATGCTGGCCATGCAGCACATTCCATCCAACATTGTGCTAAAACACCTGGGAGGCAGCAGGTAATGGTTCAAGCAGTTGAGTTCCTGCCACTCGTGTGGGAGACTCCGAGTTTCTGGCTCCTGATTTCAGCATGACCTAGCCTAGGCCTGTGGAGAGTACATTATTGGATGCAAAATCTCTCCCTCCTGCCCCTGTCCCTCCCCATTATGCCCCCTTCCTCCTTAACTACTCAAATTTCTTTGTGTATCTCTCTTTCTTTATAATTCTGCCTTTCAGAAATATATATTTAACAAAGAACATCCAAGCTATCCAAAATAGTGTCACAGAAAGAAGGGAAGAGAACAGTTTAAAATAAGAAAGAATGCAAAATGCCAAGGGAGTGAAAGTTGGGTATGAACTCAAGGGAGAAGAGACTTTGCATTATGTTGGTTGTGGGTTCAGCTCTTTTGAGTTGTTCTTAATACAGTAGTCTGAATGCAGGTATGATGTAAGGGGTTATAAAATAAATGGAGGTTTTAGAAGGGAGATGATGGTCATAAACTCTTTCGAGTCAGAGAAGTTGACACAGGGCCTCTCAGGAGTGCCAGATGAGTGGTAATTAAGACAATAATTTTCAACATTGTGTGACCGTAGCTTTTGATGGTATTACCACAGCATAAAGGTTGCGTACATATTAGCTTATTTTTTCAATGAAATAAAAGTTGATCTGACTGAACTATTGGCTCATAGTGACTATACTCCTGATATTGATTCATAAATAGAATACCATAGTTTACATTATGAGTTTCTGTCTAGCCAGAAATTACAGAGCAATGTCCTGCTCATAGGCAGTCTACCTCCAAAATAGGTGGGAATTCAGAGGAGAATTATAGCAACTTACAAATATCTTGGCATAGAATAAAATATAGGTGAAATTTCTGTTAGACCAGTTTTAGATTTAATAAGGTGTCTTGTGTTTTAAAAAATATTTGTGAATAAAAACCAAGTAATCCTACTCTCTGGAAGGCACTGATATGTGCTGATTCATATTGTATGTCCATGTTCCCAAACTCTTATTTAAACCATAACCTTTTGTGTGCCATTAAATGATCATTTCCATATATTGTTGTAGTTTTCATTCTCATGCTTCAGTTCTCATTATTTATAATGTAGAAGGCACACTAATTTGCATGTGAAATGAATGGTTACTTTTAATTAACAAAAGTGGTCTTCTAGACTCTGATCTTTTTGCTGACATTTGCTTCAGTTCAATTTATTTCTACATATATCAAACACCTATTGTGTTTTCAAGCATTTTAATAAGTCCTGAGATTTATGTGTACGCATGAGACCCGACCCCAAGAGGGGATGGGGGAGAGGGGAGGGGACAGGAAGGGTGGGAAGAAAATGGAGATGGGAGAGTAAGTTCAAAAATACTTGCAATTAAATATCCAAGGCATCAGAATGCTGGGTAGTCCAGAAGAGAGACATTCAGCCCAAAGTTCTGTGAGATGCAATGTTAATAAAAATGTCCTGAATTTCTTGATTATTGCTGGTTGAAATGACACGTAAATTGCGTGTTTAAGAATGGGTAAAATTTTGCTCAGGCAGAGAAAGTGGATTGTTGAGATGAAGAATTGGTGATGAAAAGTTATGGGTCTTATTTGGAGACTGTAATATAACTAACATTACAAAACAATAGGGTAGTTAAAGGTGAAGCTGTTGAAATAAATGTAGATTTAAGTCATAAAATAACCTGTAGATCATCCAAGAGGGCAGTATCTGAGTCTGACAATTTAGATAAGAATAGCTTAAGAGCAAAAGACATGGTTGCAATACCCAGACAAGAGATGTGAGATTATACACCATGTTACAGAAGCAAATGAGTGACCTAGAAACCCTCCGCAAAATGTTTTGGCTCAAAATCATCCTTACTGTCATATATGAGGAGGCTTTGAAAAATTCATCAAAATCAGGATTAAAAATTTGGTGAATTTTTTTAAGATTTATTTATTTATTTTTATTGGAAAGGCAGATATACAGAGAGGAGGAGAGACAGAGAGGAAGATCTTCCATCCGATGATTCACTCCCCAAGTGAGCGCAATGGCCAATGCTATGCCCAGCCGAAGCCAGGATCCAGGAACCTCTTCTGGGTATCCCACGCGGGTGCAGGGTCCCAAGGTTTTGGGCCATCCTCGACTGCTTTCCCAGGCCACAAGCAGAGAACTGGATGGGAAGTGGAGCTGCTGGGATTAGAACCAGCGCCCACATGGGATCCCGGAGCGTTCAAGGCGAGGACTTTAGCTGCTAGGCCACGCCACTGGGCCCAAAATTTGGTGAATTTTTAAAACTCATCCATACGAAGTCTTCAAATGCTCATGAAACTCTGTATGATGAAAAGCTTTAGGCCCGGCGCCATAGCCTAGTGGCTAAAGTCCTTGCCTCTCACACACCGGGATCTCATATGGGCACTGGTTCTAATCCTGACAGCCCTACTTTCCATCCAGCTTCCTGCTTGTGGCCTGAGAAGGGAATAGAAGACGGCCCAAAGCTTTGGGACCCTGCACCCATGTGGGAGACCCAGAAGAGGCTTCTGGCTCCTGGTTTCAGATTGGCTCAGCTCTAGCTGCTGCAGCCACTTGAGGAGTGAATCATTGACAGAAGATCTTCCTCTCTGTCTCTCCTCCTCTCTGTATATCTGACTGTCCGATAAAAATAAATCTTTTTTAAAAAAGCTTTGCAAAGACTTCCAATTTATATATTCAAACAAACTCATATTTTGATGTAATATTTCCATGAAATTTTAAAGTTCCTGCATATTTTAATATATAGACATGATATTATTAATAGTTATGGAAATGTTGTTGGAATGGAAGAGAAAAACTAAAAATCTCCTGATTGTCCATCTTTTGTAACTTCATGGTTAATGATGTCATTAGCTGTGCTAACGAATACAGACATGGAGGAAAAGTTAGGAGAGTTGACGCTTGGAGTCAAAGTTCAACAAGCTAAATCTAAGGGTTGTTCAAAAAGAGAATGAGTGGCTTGGATTTTTAGAATATCAGCAATAGCAAATTTCTGAAATTCAAAGTTCCACTAGCTGGAAGTGGAGGTAGAAGTTGTGGTATACCAGGGCTTGGGTGTGCCTTGACAGTTGACAGTTGGACCCAATTCTAGTCAGTTCTTTTTAATAACATTGTTGTAGCTGACATAAAGGTTTCACTGTCTCATATGTTTTCTTATCAACACTAAGAACCTCTCTAGATACAGATTATATAATCACTTCAAACAAAGAAAGGTAGAAACGAAAACAATAATATGAGGTCACACAGTGAGTGATAGGATTGGAATGAATGGTTTGGTTTGCCTCCTTTGGCAATTTGGGTCCCAAGTGAGGTTGAGAGGGACAAAAGTGAGGTTGAGATGGACAAAAGCTGATTCATGGAGCCAATCCAATTCCCAGCCAGCACTAGAGACATGAGACTTGTTATTTTTGTGTTCAAAAAACGGTTTTTGCATTATTCATCATGCTTATAAGAGATGTTCTCATTTATTTCTCAAAATCACTAATGCTTCCCTACTCAGAATTACAGATAAGCATGAATAAATACGTGTGGTTGTTTTCACACCCACTTATTATGTTTCATTACACAGAGGACATTCTGCCGTACTGTAGACCTACATTTCCAACATCAAATAATCCGAGAGATCCCAGCTCCTCGAGCTCAGTGTCATCAAGAGGATCAGGAAGCAGACAAAGAGAACAAGCAAATGTTGGCCGGAGAAATATTGCAGAAATGCAAGTTCTTGGAGGATACGAAAGAGGAGAAGATAATAATGAAGAATTAGAGGTATTTCTAATTTTTCCAATATTAGACAGAAGTTGCCGCATCTGTCTCAACATTAGGGCACATCTAGTGTACGTAAATGTTACTGTTTTATCACGAAATTGTCATTACCCTAAGGTTCGTGATACCAGAAATTGAAGTTCTGAGAATGTAAGGATTTTCACTTTGAAATGAGTTGGCACAGTTTTATACCGAATATCTTTATAGATGTATTTCATATTCATTTGCAGATTTTCAGATATAAAATATTGGGAATATGGTAAAATATTTTTGATAAATAAGAACAGTTGACCTAGATGTTTGATTCCTAATTTTATCATAGACTAAGAAAATCCAGTACGCTGACAGAGACATATGATGTGACTGGCAGTTATCAGTCATCATCATGATCTCCAGGGTCAACGTGACTGATCTGGCCAACTGGCTCCTACCTTCACTCTCGTGAATACCTAAATCTTGCTCATGACACTGACCTTCTCAAACGGGGGCTGCTTCTTCACCTTAAGGTACCCTCCCTTGCTGAAATGGATAGTGATTGAAGATATATTCTGCGGTAGGTCATACCATCTTGTAAAATGTTTTCCTTTTAAAAGTGTGTTTTCTCCATCTTCTAAGACATAAGCTGACAGTCATCTCATTTTGCAAATATATTTAATTCCACATAGATATAAAATTATTGATAAATTGTTTACTAGTGAAAATTGTCATAAATTATATATAATTGGATTTTTAAGACTGCACACTATATTTTGTTTTTGAGACTGCAAATGCTGTTAAACAGGTTGTTTTTCAAGTTTCTCCTTTTGTTTTTTAAGTAGAAGAACCCTTTGACAGGACAAAATATCATTAAGGTTAATTCGACTATCAAAAGCCAATAAAATACAACACAGTGAGGAGTCGGGGCAGAAGCGAGTAGAGTCCCAGAGCTCTCTCAGAGTCTCGCTTATTCTTCCTGCAAAAAAAGGAATAATGGAATAATGACTCTTTCTCCTCATGCAGAGTCCTGAACTAACCAGGAAACAGTAAGATATTGTGCCTAGTTTGGTACTTGTTGGAGTAATGTCAGATTTGCTATCCAGACCAGCTACAGTTGACAAATTATTTGCATTCAACATTTTTCTCCCACTGTATGTCAGCAAATGAATGAAAAAGCACTTTAGACTTAAACTGTAAGCATACATTCATACAATCAAATGTAAGATAACAATCAAGATTTATATCCAGATGGAACAATAATTTGTCTCTTGCAGGAAACTGAAAGCTGAAGACAACCAGAGAGGCTTGTGAGAAGTGCCGTGAAATGATCACTCAAGATGCCTCCTGTCTGATGACACGTGACGCCAGATGAAATGTTCAGTGCAATCAGTGTGCAAATTGCCTTTCTTCTTCCTCTTATTAGGATGCCAATTTAAAGTCTTGATTGGGTTTTTATTGTTGTTGTTCTGTCCCAGAATCTCCTGGTTCCCCACACTCTTGGAACAAACCATTGCTCCTTGCTTCCAGCAAAGGAAGGATACTGACTTCTTGCTTCAGTCATCAGCCAGCAGGAAAGAACACAGCAGTTCCTTTGCATTTTGCTCCTGAGATATGGCCGTTGCACTGCTTCTATACCAAGCTAATTTGTAGCAAAATATTGATCAAAGATAACATTGATTATCAACCTCATGCCAAGGGCTCTCAAAGTATAATCTTTCTATAACTAACTGCTAATGCAAAATAAAACATACTTCATTTTAACATGATTTTTAAATTAGTCTTTCATACCACACTTTGCTGGGAGAAACAAAAAATACAGCAAAGGTACAACTGAACAGTTTGAATGGGGTAGAAACATTGTAAATATATACTCTTTGCAACCCCTGGTGGTACTTTATTTTGTCTTCATTTCAATCATTGAAGTATATTCTTACGGGAAATGTAATTTTGGACAAATAGGGCTAAACCAGTTGGATCTCTGATTGTCTAGTCATTGTCATAAGTAAGCCTAGCAAAAACCTTGTTCTATTTTTCAATCAAAAAGCAATTATAAGAGCATATTACAGAAAAAAAGGATGTTTTTAATGACCAATGTAGTAGGGACATCCCTATCTTAACTGGCCTAAATTTCTTCTGGTAGTGTCAGTTCAACTTTCAGAAGTGCCACTTAAGGAAGTTTGATGTTTTGTTTTTATAATGCACTGTTTTTAATCTTTTTTTTTTTTTGGTTTTAAAAGCACAATCACAACTTTATTTGTAAACCATGTAACTATTAACCTTTTTTGTCTTATTGAGAAAATGTTGAGAAGTGTTTTTAACCTGTTTTGTTAATGCTCTATGTTTGTATTTGGAATATTTGAATGACAGATGGTGAAGTAATGTGCATACATTATCGTGGGCCATGAACCAATTGTTCTTGCTTTTCCTGAACTGAAGGAAAAGCAGAGGTTCAAGTTTGTTGTGGCCAATGTCAAAACATGTGAGATAATCTTATAAGCTCAAATGGAGGCAATACTTGTTTTAATTTGCCAAATGATATCTTCTGATGATAGATTTGTATGATCTTTTTTGTCATTCTATCAATTTCATTGACTTTATAATTGGTGCTATTTGGAGAAAACTACATTTATTCATACACAGGTATTAAGCCTAACCCACTGGAAAACAAAGCCAAACAAAACTGAACCACACATAAAGATTGATATCCACCACAAAAACTGAAAATGTTCATTTAGATAATTTGAAATAAGTTCCATAGAAAGAGTATGCAGTACTAAGGGAACAATCCATGTGATTAATGTTTTCATTATGTTCATGTAAGAAGCCTCTTATTTTTAGCCATAATTTTGCATACTGAAAATCCAATAATCAGAAAAGTAATTTTGTCACATTATTTATTAAAAATGTTCTCAAATACATCATTCTTTCTTGTGTTGATTTTTTTTCCATTGTGTGATCAGACTTTTCCCATTTAATCACAAAGTCCTTTTGTCTAAACATTTCACCACTGTATTTCCAGAAGGTAAATAAATACTCTCCATCACCAACACGAAGAGGCACGTTTTATTTGTAAGAAAAAATTTTCATTCATTTCCTCTAAGTCTGAATGTTAAAGATGAATTAAGATTATGAATTTTGTAATTTGGTAAGAGAGCGAGTACCTCCTACAAATGGTGTGATATTTTTGTTCTTGTATGTGTATCTGAATTTCAGTTAACCTACTTCTAAAATAATCAGTATTCAACTAGGGTACATTTGATTTGTAAAGTCTGAACCACCTTCTGTCAAGAAGAAAATTATGTAAATTCAAAATACTTATCGGTAACCATCTGCTTTCCTGTTACAAATGTGTGTGACATTTTTCCAAAACCTATCATATACCAGGTTGGACATTATTATTCATTAAAGTCAACATACTCAAATATTCAACTGTTGATGGATGAGCTGGGTATCATGTCTTGGAAATGCCAAGAGTAATAGAATCTAATGGAGCCTTTTTTTCAATGACATTAACATTGTTTTTTTTTTTTTTGTCTAAGTTTTATCAGAACTTGGAAATGTAAGGAAAAGTTTAGAGAAACATGGGATATAATTCGAAGTTTAATTTTAGAACAATCAAATTTGTACCACTGTCTAGAGAGACAGCTCTACAGGTGAGAAATTCAGCTGCCAAGCTTTTTCAAAAGGAAAAAAAAATTGGGGAGTATGTTTATTGTCCAAATTTTTCTCTCTCCTGTTCTAGATTGACTATAAATGATTAGTCTCTATCGGTTTATAGAACATGATGTACCTTCCAGGTATGTGCATCGAAGGCCTGGGTTTGAGTCCCAGTTTTGTCATGGCTATGTTTCCTTGGACATGCTACTTACCTCGAAGTCTCAGGTACTTCACCTGTAAATTCAGAAATACCTACCTCATGGAGCTATTGTCATGATTTAGTACGTTAATGTATATGAAATGGACTCTGTAAACTCCAAAAACAATACAAGATATTGTCACTTTTATGGACTGAAATTCATTACACATGCAGTTCATCCCCATTTTACATATATAGTTTGTTCCTAAAAACTTGCATGGAAGTCAAAGAATAAGTGTGGTACACGATGGAGGATGGTTCCATTTCCAGTGATTAAAATTCACTGTGAAATACCTAATTGTGGAATAAATTGTTGGTGTTTTTGTTTGTTTCTTTGCTTTTGAATTGAGGGGGCACACTGTGGGTGGGGTTATAACATTTATACCACATTTTTCATAATGTAGGGGTGTAAACAGGTCACTCGAGTTCTTAATAAAGGGATTAAATATATCAATTTAGGGCTTCTCTTCTATCATGTTGCAGAAAGTGTCTCCATTCCAGGTGAGCTCGATCACATCTGGCTTTCTTGGTCATTTCAGATGTCTGGACTTTCTGCTCTGTCCCCTCTATCCCAAGGAGTGGTATCTAAACTCCAGAGACCGGGTCCATGTGTGGAACATGTGGATGGTAAAGGGACTAAGGACATTTCGCATGGCTGGTGTCCAAAATTCAGCAGCCTCCTTTTGACAGAATCCTTGCTTTATACCCTCTTCTACCCAAGCTTGATGGCCCTTACTACCCACTGCCTTGCTCTAGATATTCCTAAGATGAAAGTGAGTATAGGTATCAATGGATGAAGGTCATCTGTGTTCTGTGCCAGGCTGAGAATTTAGAGGCTAGGCATTTGGACATTTGCCTGCAACGTCATTAGTTTGTGTTTGTTTCCCATGTGTTGCAGTTGTCTGATGGGTGGAGAATTTAACTCCCGAACAATAGTAGGTAAACTAAGTAGGAGTGACAGGTATTTCAGATGGGAGGGTGCCAAGATGAGGTGAGACTGAGCTTAAAGGAAGCTGTCAGCAGAGGCGAGCTCTCTGAGGCATCTGCTCCAAGCAAGATTATTGAGAAATGTTTTAGCATAATACCAAAGGTTGAACAATCCACAGTTTGCCTCTTTTAAAATTAAGATAAACGTTCTTTCATAGTGAAGTTAATCATATTAATTTCAAATTATTTCCGCATAGATGAAGTTTTATTTTTACCAGTTGCCAATTATTGGCAATACAAATACTGATTTCAACATGTTCTGAAATATTTTATCTACATTTGTTAATATATTCTGAAAATGTTTATGATATCTAGTGAATCAAAACTAAAAGCTGTAAGTTTGAGAATCACTAGCAAAATATTAATTGGATTTTGGGAGAATATCTACGATTATGCATTAATTTATGGCAAAGCAACATTTTAAAGTACTTAAAGAAATAAAAATATCCATACTAATTAAGGCTGTGCCTTCTAAAACACTAACATACCGCACATGGAGGCAGACAAAATTGTCAGATCAGTCAGAGTAACCTGAGAAATGTCAGTTAAGTTAGGAATGGTTTACTAATTTATGTATCACACAACAGTATCATGGAAGTATTCAATGCTAAGGCTGTTAGCATTGTCATAGGAAATCCTAATCCAACGCTTTTAATTTCAATGGGATTTTATCTTTGTTACATTTATTCAAGGTCATTGTCTCACATGGATACAAACTGTTTACCCCCTTTGACTGAATGTATGTTGCCTATATTCACCTGTCTAGACCATAACCCTCGGTGTAACGCTGTCAGGAGGAGGGATCCAGTGACAGGGAGGGGAATTCATTGATGTCGTGAGATTGGAGCCTCCACGAACGGGATAGCGCCCTTAAAAAGAGCGATCCTGGAGAGTACTTTCTTCCTTCTTACCCTCGCACAGTCATCTATGAAATGTTAGCCATATGTGAAGCAGAAAACAACCCTTGCAAGAACTCAACTACGTAGGAATATTGATCTAGAACTTGCCTCTAGAAGTAAAAAACAAAAAGAAATGATTCCTGTTTTTTTATTAGCCACTCGAGCAATGTAGGATAATTTGCTGAAGTAATTTAAACTGATTAAAAGTAGGTGCATTTTTGATAAAGATTTGATAAAGATTGAAAGAGAAGGACAGACAGAGAAAAAGATCTTCTGTCCACTTGTTCACTCTCCAAATGGCAGCAATGACCAGAGCTGAACCGATTTGAACCCAGAATCCATGAGCTTCTATGAGTCTCACACATGGCTGCAAGGTCCCAAAGCTTGGGCTGTCCTCGACTGCTTTCCCAGGCCACAGGCAGGGAGCTGGATGGGAAGTGGAGTAGCCAAGACATGAACCAAAGCCCACATGGGATCTCGGTGCATGCAAGGTGAGAGTTTAGCCACTAGGCTATCACTACGGGCCCATGGTTACTTTCTTAAAACTGAACTTCAAAATACATGAAACTAGATCTCTCTTTTTTTTTTCAAAAGAAGAAAGTAGCAAATTGGAAAAACAATGGGCACTCGGTTACACTAACACCACGTATAAATTAATCTTTAATCTTTTAGAATCTCTCTTTGCATTTAGAAAAACAAAACAAAACACAAAACAAAAAAAATCTCTTGAATGCTTCTGAATGTGTACAACTGGACTAACAATGCCTCTAGCCCATGGAGAGACTGCCAGATCTCACTGAGCTCCTGGACTTAGTGGAAGCAACCTGGTAAGTAGAAATTCTTCCCATGCCTTGTAACAGAGGATCTCCAGTGCTTTCAGGTACCTTCCTTGAAACTGTGAAATGCCCACTTGGGGTCTGGGACTGGCCAGGGCAAATGTGGACCTCAGAGCTAGCTGCTGGTGCTTGAGAAGGGATCCTCGTGGATCAGAATTCTTCATGTAGGGTAATACCTGGGGAGTTCCAGAATTCTGAAATCAGAATCTGGGTATCTAAAGCCACTGGATTTCTCACACTTCTGACATTTCCCTTTGATATTATCAAGGCAGGTACCAATAGATTTGACTTGGGATGACTTCAGTAGTTCAATTAACCAGTGATGCTGCAAAAGTATTTGCCATGGCTACCAGGCTACAGCAACTCCGAATATATGAAAGGACATATTTTTAAATCAAAATAATGAAACCCAATGATTTTTTTAGTAGATGGAATACCTACCTCCTATTTTCTACAGTAAGGCACAGATTCATCTCTTAGCTTCCTGGTTTTGTTCAGTGTTTTTCTATCATCTCCAAAATGACTCTGTGTGTGTGTGTGTGTGTGTGTGTGTGTGTGTGTGTGTGTGTGTGTGAGACTGAGTAAATGAAGCTAGTAATTCTTCAAATGAGTTTAGTTTTCAAATCTGCAGGACAAACTTCTTTAACCAGTCAGCTCAGGTTGTATAGTGAAAGGATTTGGAATAGCTCTTCTGGTGTATCCCATAGGAAGTTAATAATGAATAAGCATATGAAAGGGAAAAGTGAGTCATGCATTGGGCATTTTATGATTTCAGTATATAATCCTACTGAAGTTCAGCCAAAATTGTTGTGGAATATCCAATTCTAATTTCTTTGGATGCCAAGATTTTGAAAGATGGAAATTTGATGAAATTCCTAATCTTCTATTTACATTCCAAACATAAATAGTGTGGCTATCAATTGGCATCAAGTCCAGCACTCTGTCCAGAAATTAAAACTGTTAGGAGCCAAGAATGGAAAATATCCTTTCCTTATTAACACAGGGGCAGGCCCAAGCACTTAGGTCCTCTCTGCTTTCCCAGATGGCTTAGCAAGGAGCTGGAGCAGTGGAACAGCCAGGCATTGAACTAGTACCCATATTGGATGCCTGCATCTCCGGCAGAGGCTTAACTTGTTACATAATGCCATATTCCAAAGGCACTTTGAAAACCAAACTATAAATAATGATTTCCAAGCATTAAAAGTGTGCAGTATACATACATAAGACATGACATCTCACATTAATAGTGCTGATATTAAAAAATCCTAACAATCTGACTTAAACAGAATGAACTTTGCAAGGATATTTAGTTTTGTTTTTATGAAAAAAGGAACTG